AAATTTTTAGGGTGATTCTGTGTATATATTAATAAAAGTCTTTGGTAAATAAAAATAAGTTTTTAATAAGTTAAAAATTATCTTTTCAACTGATTTGGAAATTTGACATAGAGAAATTTCTGTGTATCTGCAAATAATCTTAAGTTGGGTACAGCAGCATCTGTTTGGATTATACACACCAAAATATTAAGTTATGTGAAACTAATGAAAATCTGACTATGGTCTGACGTATTGGATTATTGAAATTTTACTTGGTGAGTTACTTTACTTAATTTCTGAGTAAAATCATGCATATATACTGATTAATTAATTAACACGTCTCAACCTCGGGATTTGATCTTGAAAGCGGCATGTCCCTCGATGAAAAAAAAAAAAAAAAATCAAATTTTAGAAAAATGGTTTAAGCATCTAAGGAACTACAATCATGTTATAATTATACATAATTTGCATGCATTTACTATGTTTAGTCTAACCTGCTATACTGCAAGTAATAGTTTAGATAATTGTGCTGTTTTATGTATATCTTTCATAGAAGCGTGAATCGGAATATTTTGACTATTATTTTGACTATTATTACGTTTTACTAAATAAGTAAGGACAACTTTTGCTGATCTTGACACATTTTAAAACATTTATGATTTAACCTTTCTTTTTAACTGATTCTACCCTTACAACCAGTGCAGACCAAATTAAGATCAACTAGTACATCAATGCCTTCTGATTATGGTCTGCACTGTTTTGCTATCATAATTCAGCCGCATCACGACAAAACCAACATAGTGCGTTTGCGACCAGCATGAATCCAGACCAGCCTGCGCATCCATGCAGTCTGATCAGGATCCATGCTGTTCGCTTGCCAACTCTATTACAAGTAGAGAAATTGATAGCGAACAGCATGGATCCTGATCAGACTGCGCGGATGTGCAGGCTGGTCTGGATCCATGCTGGTCGCAAACCCATTATGTTAATTGGTTTTGTCATGACGCGGCTCAATTATTTTCTCTAAAAAATGATGAATGGTTTTGTCCGGATTGTAGGATAGACAAGTCTTATGTGAAAAAGACTTTATAAATTATTATGAAAATAAAATTGTTTCTATGAGAATGTTGCTTTAAAGGCCAATTATGCCCAAGAAATGCTCTCAAAATTTGGTGTCCTGTTTTAGTTTACTGGCCATTTATCTGATACATCTTTTCCTTCTGTTGCATTTTTGCAATTAATAAAACTGTAGTGTCATTTAGTATTTTGAATGGAACTCAAAATACTTCTTTTTGAATGGATTAGTCAAATACCACTATTTTTACATTTTGCTACTTTAATAACAAATAGTGTCACATTCATCGCTATTTTCTTCCTGTGATACGTGATAAGCATCTAAAATGCTCTAAAACCAGTATTTAACTGCTATCAAACTCATGTTTGCCTTCTCAAAAGAATGAACAATTTATTTATTTCTCAGGCATACTGTGCCTTTAAGATTTAAAACAACAAAGCGCTTTCAGTCTGTTTCATATTGGTCATTTGCGTTAACTCGAACATGAGGTATTTATTAAAACATTGCCCTGGAGCAGTTTGAGTTTTACAACAAGACGTTTGTTATTTTTGTTTAGGGATATAGCTGGAGTTGCTTCTTACGTTATGTTTTACAGTTGTGGTTATAGTTTGAACGTTATGTTGTAATATTTGCACATGATGAGGATTACTTTATGAGAGAACAAAAAGAAAAAAACAGCCTCGAAAATAATCGTAAAATCATAAAAACCGTATTTAAACGGGAAATATTTTAGCTTGTACATGTGTGTGAGATGTTATAAGGAAAAACCTCCATGCAAAAAAGAACAATGGTATGATTATATGGAGATAAATTTTCGTGTGTGTGAGGTGTATTTTATTTTTATCATAATCAAATATTACTGTAATAGGTACAATCCTCGTTGACATTTTCTCAATAAATTTTTGAACCGAAACTTTATTTTAACTGGAACTTTATTTTGATGATGATATTCTGTACTGGTGCAGTTTGTGTAAATTCTAGATATTTGCACATTAAGTTCTTTTGAAAAGAGTGTTTTTGAAAAGTTTAAATTTGTGAAGTTTTATTTTTGTCGTTGTATGAAGTACGTGAAATGATGTGCATGTCTGGATGTTATAGACACTCGTGAAACACTTGTACGATTGTTTGATCTGATGAGTACCTGATACCGGTTTGATATGGGGAAATAATTTATGTGTTTGATTAAAAGTGTTTTTTATTTTAGTATTGGTTATGAATTGTGATCGCATAAATTGAACTGAGTTCGTATGGTTCAAACTCTGGAAAAGTTTTTGGTAGGAAGCATTATTATAATATTACATTAACACTATTTTGAGAAAAATGGATTAAATCAACTGGTTTTGAACCTTCAGGATTAAAAAGTAAAGGAAATTATAAGTTTGGGTATAGGTTACTGTAGTTGGGACTCTTGATTTTTGGAAAAATACCACTAAAATTGCTAATTTGGGAAGTAAAAAAAAAACAAGTGTAAGTTTATATGTTTAGGATTAAAGAAAATTTCAATATGGGAGAGACTTTTAATGGCCTCTGTTATATAAGGTGAAAAAACAATGGTTATATATTTAGTGATAGCTTGAAAGTGTCCTTAGTAGGCTTAATTGGATAAAGTAGTAGTTCATTACTTGAATAAGAACAGGGAGAGCTTAATTGTACTGTATGTACAAAGGAGTCGGTGTAGGCGTTGCCTTTACACTTTGGTTAAGTTTTTTCGTGCAAGTTGGTAATAATTCTTCAAAACTTGTGAAAGGAATGGGTTGAAACTTTACACACTTGGTCTCTGTGATTATCCAACATGGTGGGCACATGTCCATTATTTCTGAGTTAACTTTTTACAGAGTTTTGCCCCTCCTTTTCCTTACTGTCAAGCACTGAGAATAGTGTAGCACATTGTCATGAGGACAGATCTTGTAATCACTATAGTTAGGATTAAGCAGAAAGCTCAAAGCTTAATTTGAATTTAAATATTTTAAACTTTTAACCTTTAAACCCTTAATTTCATAAATGGGCATAACCAGGATATTATCAATTTTGGGGCAATAAAGATAAAAATTTAAAGTTAGCATGGATGTGCAGGCTGGCCTGACTCTATACTGGAGGTAAAGGGTATGAACTTCAGATGTTCTTGTAGATAATATGAAAAAACGTATTACCGGTAAATAATATTTTGATATTTGAGAAAATATTCATGGCTAAAAAAATCCACACAAATTCATGTGAAGCATGTTTTAAAAAGAAAAATCTTTTAAATTCATTGACTATTCAAATGAGTCATATATATATATATATAAATACAGACATAAGATTATGTTTTACTTGAACATGATTAATGTACTTTATCTTTAGCTCTTTAAACTTTAAAATTTGTACAGAAAAAAACTCCAAGTTTTAGTTTTTAGCTCGCCTAAGTTCAGTGGTGAGTTATTTGGTTTGGTCATTGATTGTTATAACATTCTAGAGGTCAGAGCTTTGTAAATTAATTTAATATTCTAACACGACCCGCATTTTTCCCTATTGAACATAGAAGAACAAAAAGTGTGTGTTATTATGCAACAGATGCACAGTTTGACGTTCTATATTTAGACATGTGACGTAATCATTATACACGTGACGTAACCACTAAAAATCCGACGCGCTGAAAATAAGTTCGGAAACAAATCAGGCGCAATTTTGCTAAACTATCATGTACCTCAACATTTATTTGTTAATGTCGTGTTAGAATCGAAATAATATATCCAAATCAGTGATTTTATCGCTTGATAACATCACTGTTTGTCGTTCAAATGCGCATCATTATATCACTCGGGCTACGCCCTCGTGATATAATTCCTTGCATCCGAACTCCAAACAGTGATGTTATTGAGCGATAAAATCACTGTTTGGGATATATTATTTCTTAAATTTTTAAACTGGAAACCTTAAATTAACAAAAGAATATTTTAATGAAACTTATTAAGAATTATTAATTGCCATGATATAAGTATCTTTCATATTGCATAAACAAACTAGCTCAGTGATTTAGTTAAACAAGTTTTGATAATGCTGTAGAAGCCAATTATTATAATGTACATTTAAGTTGCACTGTTCTTCTGTTCATGATTTAAGGTTAAATTAAATCATGGGTCTCCAGACTCGTTCATTTATTCTTCAAGAAAAATCTTTTTCTTCTTTTTTTTTTGTCATTGAGTACTGAGCACACTTGCGAAAGCATAAAATGGAAAGTTAAGATGCTGTCTTAACTAAGGTGAGCGATAGAAGGTCCGTCATAACCCTTGTGTTTATGCAAACTGTTATTTTCAGATAATGTTCCGATCTTAAAGTTCGATAAAATTTCACATGTAAAAAGATTTATCTTGTTACCGCCTGATAACACTGACCTTTTATCACCTCTCCAAATTTTCAAATATGGATAAAATATCGTTTGTTTAAAGTTTTGTTTGAATGATTTGGAACGTTAAAACATGTGTTTTGCGTTCGAATTGTATTAAAGTAGAATAGAAATCAGGGAATTGGTGGAATTTTTAAAAGGTTTGTGATCGAGGCATTCTACAAAAGTTTAGATTTATGTAAGAAACAACCAGTGTGCATCTATTTTTGTATGGTTGCTGTTTGTTTTAAATGTGAATTAACTGTAAAATGTGTATAATTAAAAGAAGTAGAGAAATACATTAGTTTCACATAGAGACGATGGGTTGGTGAGAACTAACCTGTGGTGTCTGAACATGGGAACTTGATTAACATTGGCCTGAAGTGTTACATTTGACAGGTACGCTCTGCTTTTTGGACAAGTATTTGTGATGTTTCATACTGGGGTACTTTGATTTCAAACTGGGATGAAAAAAATGAATACAGACTGGGATGAACTATATAGACAGAAATATCTTCAATTTCTTAATTTAATTATTTTGTATTGGAATGTACGTCATTAGAATAATGTTTCTATTTATAGATCATACAGTGACATCTGAAGAGAACTCAAACAAGATTCAAGCATCCAGGCTACCATGATGAGGCTTGGATCATGGTTATAAGAGGCTTGATGATGACTGGTACCTGTTTGAACGGTTACCATGCTGCGTAATGTGTTTGGCTGCGTTTCAGACAGAAGCACGGAGGCCATGCGCCATCAAAAGTTAGTATATGCTAAGAAATATTTATTCATTTTATTGTATAATTTTTTATTATGTTTTGTTATTTTTTGTACCTATTTCATTGATGGATATATTTTAAGATATAAATCACATAATATGTGACAAACTAAGATTGATCACATTTCAGATTTTAATTGGTCTTAATTTTTAATAAAATGTATGTCTTCTGTTAAAGTGTGACATATTGTGGTTGTTTGTTATCAAAGCAAAAAATGACTAATATCTAATCTATGGCAACAGTAAAAACCACTTGTTTCATAATGATGATTTTATGTCCTAAACTACATAATTTCTTTGAAAGATACATTCCCATTGACTGAATAATTTATATTGTTTACAAGTGTATAGAAATAAAATATTTATGGACAGAAAACATTGTAAAATTAATTTTCAAGATGTGACGAAGTCCTTCCCTAGTTCTGCCAATTGTGAATCTATTAGGAATTACTGTTCAAAGGAAATTAGTAAATATTCATTCACTTATCATGATAAATAAAGCATATTAGATGAGAGCAACAGCATTCTATATTGCAATTAAGGATGGCGATAATAATAATGATCTTAATGTGGAGTCCCTTGAGTCCTTTGATAAAAAGCAGATAATACTGGTTCAGCTTTGTGTCAGTTTGTTTGTTTTTCTGGGTTTGTTTTACAGTATTTTGGAAGCACTTTACAAGTTATTTTGAAATTTGCTCAAGATTTTGAGGAGACAAGAATAAAACTGAGGAAGGCCCAAAAGATGCATTATGTGTCATTTCTGGGTCAATTAGGCTAACATGTAATGTCACTAAACCTTCTGGCTGAGTGGGATCCTTATGAAAAATATGATGGATGATGCAAATTTTAAACAGTATGTTCAAGAGCTGTCAAAATCAAGGCATTAAACCTGCGGCACAGGAATCTTTTGAAACAAATAGTTATATATAAAGTGGTTGCAGGGCTAAGTGGTTAAAGCGTCAGACTAGAAATCTGTTCTCAGGATCCCTAACAGCGTTGGTTCCAACCTTGTCAGAGGCAAGCCGTTGTTTCCATCTGCAAGGAACTTTACACTTATTGCTCAGCACTAAGTTGTTCTAGGAATGAAATCAAAAGTGTGCCTTTAAGTTTATATCTTCCTTCACAATACACAAGAATATTTTATAAACTAAATACATGTGATAATATCCTAGTTATGAAACACTTGCTTTGTATATCTTGCATTTCTCGATTAGGATTGAGGAAGAGACTTTGATATTTTTCCAAGTTACAAAGCCATTTAGCCAAGTTGTATAAAATGCAAATGCGCTTAAAAGGTTATTATGATGTAAAGAAATAAATTGTATTAATTTTGATTGTTTCAAAAATTTCATTGACAACTGGCATCAATCCCTTAATTCATTTGATTGAGTGATTGATTGATTGATTCATTCATTCATTTATTCAATGGTTGATCAAATGATTCATTGATTCATTTATTCATTCATTCATTTCATCAATCAATCAATCAATCAATCAATCAATCAATGAGGAAATCAATATATCAGTCAATAATTGCATACTTTCATATGTTTCAGAATAAAATTTGGAGCCCCATTATCCACTGCCCTAAAGAATGGATACCTTCCAATACCTATGGTTGTAAGTATTATTACATTGATATTTCCCCACACCTGGCAATACCTAGACATTTTATCATGACATTTCAAACCTAGTTATTGTATGAACTCCAGATCTATATATATACATTCTATGTAATGCTGTGGAAACAATTGTCAGAAGATGTGTTAGTAGAACTCTATAAATCTGTGCATTTAATTTCTGATTGATAAATTACAATAAATTCCGTTACCTGGGGAATGATATTTTTGAACTGCCTGAGTAGATAAACCACATTTTCAATTAAGGTTAAAAAAAGTTTGATGATTAACTTTTGATTAAATGCTATGGAACTCCTATTCTATTGCTTTGAAAAATATAATTTTCTATACTTACTATTTGGTTATGGATATACTGTTCCTCATTGACAAATTTTTTCTAACAAAGCTATTGTGCATTAAGTGAATGAATTGCTTTTATATTGCAGGAATTACTTGTATATGTGGCAAGGGAAGGTCTCAACACGCGTGACATATTCCGACGGCCAGGAAATCCGAACGATACAAGGCGTGTTGTTAAGAGATTATCAGAGGGGAAGCCAGTTATTTTCTCAAACTATAGCTTCTATACATTAGCCTCTGTTATAAAGGTAACTTGTACATTTCCAAAATGCAACTGACTTTTTGTCAAGCAAGTCTTCTGGACTTTTGTCTGGTCGGCTTTTGATACAAACATGTTTACTAAAAGTTAAACATTAAGGTCAGTTGTGATGAAATTATGTTCCCCGATAATCCTTGGATGGTCCTTAACAAAATAGCCAGAATTATGCTGTTTCCCATAATGAAAGAGTGGCAAGAGCTAAAAATGGAAAGATTGAAATTGTTTTCTTCTTAGCGATTGGGCAGATTTTAATAAAGGTCTTTTGTTGGTGCTGTACAAAAGAAATTCATTTTGTTTGCTGAATGTTAGGACCATTTAAGCTATCAAATAAAAATAGGCTTTAAATGTCATCTTATACTTAATTGCAGTGATCATTTTGATGCAACATAATTTGATTGATATGTGGCTAGTACTTTGTAAAAAAAGAAGCTAAAATTCATTTGTGATGCAGAACAAGTAACTTGACATTAGCATAAAATTCTGAGTCATCTGAGGGTTAGCCATCCAAGGCTTTTAGGGCATTTCTGTTTAGTGTCTGTCCATGAATTCACAGAAACATAGAGACTTAAGTTTGATATAAATTTGTCAGGGTTGCCAGCGGACTTGAAAAGTCAGGGAAATTGGGTATTTTTTCAAGGTCAGGGAATTGTCAGGGAATTCTGAAATTTGGTCAGTGAAAAATGAAAATCCTCAAAAGTCAGTGAAAAGTCAGGGAAAAATTATTTCAAAGGTTGAAAGTATACGCATTGAAGGTCTTTCTTGGCTATGGTAGTCTTTAGGCATTTTATATTTGACTTTGTAACTCTCACAGTTAAGCATTAAATTCAAATAACAGTAAACTGTGATATTAAGAAGCATTATATGTTAACTTAGTGATTATAATACCCATTATTTACCTTAGAATATCATTCAGCCTAAAGACTTACTAGCAATATCTAGTTCAGTACACTGTATTCCTGTATTGGTCTAGTTATTTTTGTGCATGATATCACTAGAAGGGCTTTTAATTTACTAACAAAAATCTAGTCAGTATACATGTTTACCAAAACTACCATATTGGCATATAACCTCTTTTTGCTTTTTGCTTTGACACTAAGAAATTGTACAAGAGGATTTGTCTTGCAAACATGATGGAAACTGGTTAAATTATGCAATGCTATGTTTTTTTCACACTAACTTTACTTCACTCATTCAAAGTCTTTAATTTTATAGTGATTATTTCATGATATGCCAAAATGAGCCCTATGTTCTTTTTTTCACAATCAGTGTTTTATCATGATGCCTTATACAAGTAACTTGTGTTAAATGTTTATTGTTCTTACAGTTTTAGAGATGTTTGAATTTTTAAGTTTTGTCATACAAGTATTACCTCTTATAGTCTTGGTGTTTTTTATGTTTAACTACTAGAGGAAGGAAAGAGTGACTTATGTGATTTCTAATACAGATGCTATATATTATGATTCTTCTGATTTTCATGTCATATGTTTCACTGACCAACAGTCACACTGTGTTTGAATAGAAATAGTTAAGAATAGTAGAACGACAATGTTTGAATCATTACTTTGATGTAAATGTTTTATATTTTGGAAAATAAATACAAGTTTACATGCTAAAATATAATGGGAGGATTGGACGGCTATAGGGGAGGTCAGGAGGCCGTTTATGTGTTTGACGATTTTGGTCAGTGAAAAACATGAATCGGTCAGTGAAAAGTCAGGGAAAAGTCAGGGAATTTTATTTCACCAAAGTGCTGGCAACCCTGTTTGTGATCATATTCGGTATTCATTGAAACACTTTACAGGATTAGTGGAATAAACAAGTCAATATGGCCTCATTATTAACCCTTAACCTGCTAAAATTATGGAATAGATTCGCTCTACTTTGAATTTTGGAAGAGTCCATTTGAATTGTAGGGATTTCAATATCAAAATGCGAAAATTGAGCAACAATTAATATAGAGCCTTGTCAGAATACATAGATGTGTGGTTTTGTCTGGCTCTATACTGGTGGCAAAGGCAAATCATTTAATTTCATAAGAATAGGGGTTAAAAGACCATAGAGTGTTTTATTTGGCTTTATGCATTGTATCATTTTGTTCACACTTGGTTATTAACTTACTATGTTGTTGTTGTTGTTTATTTTTAGAAATTCCTGCTGAGTATACCTGAAGGTGTGTTCTCACCGGAGGGGGAGGAATCTTTGCTCAAAACACTCACCATAGGACATAAAATGGAGCAGTACGATGCTATCCATGAGTAGGTTTTTTATTTACTGTAAAATCAAAAGTATTAAATTTCTCAGTATTAACTCTTAACAACGCTAAAGATCTTTAAATGGACTTGTCCATCTTCTATTCCGGACAAAACCATTAATTTTGGGGAAAATTTTGTAAAAATTGAAATATGACTAAAATGGGGCAGTGCATGCGATCAGATTTTGGTGGCTGACCTTAAATTGCACTGGTTTAGGGGGTAGATTTTTCAGCCATGGGGGAAAAAGTTTATAAAATTGCAGTCAAATTTACAAACAGCGGTCAGTTAAGGATATGTGTTGAAATAGACTTTGATAACCATGGCTTTTAACACAGGTGATGATTTTTAGCTCGACTATTCGAAGAATATGAGAGCTATTGTAGTCGCGTCGGCGTCAGCGTCGGCGTCTGCGTTGGTTAAAGTTTTTTTGTAAATTCAAATATCTCTATTATTGCTTGAGATATTCAATTGAAACTTACAATACTTATTTATAGTAACAATGTAAATCAGATTGACAAGTTGGATAACTCTGCCTACAATTTTGACAGAATTATGCCCCTTTGAAACTTAGAAATTTTGGTTAAAGGTCTTTAAAGATATTTACTTGAAACTTTACACATGTACTTAGGGTCATAATTGGAAAGTCATAATTGTATGTCACTGACCAAGTTCCATAACTCTACTTGCATTTAGGCTGATTCATCTCCCCTTTTCTACTTAGTCTCTTGGTTAATGTTTACATGCAAGTTTTACATATCTCAAAAGCTATTAAAGATATTTATTTAAAACTGTACATATGCATTTAGAATCATAATTGTAGGTCACTGACCAAGATCCATAATTCTATCTTGCATTTAGGCTGATTTTTCTCCCCTTTTTCAACTTAGAAATTCTGGTAAAGTTTTGCTTGTAAGCTGTTATCTCCATAACTACTGAAGAGTTTGTGCCTTTTTTGGGACATTTTTATGCATTCATAATAATAAAGCAGTGATTTACTTGATAAAACATCTTAATAACAAGCCTTTGTACCTTTTCGGTCAATTTTATGTATTCATAGGTAACTAGCATTATTATACTCAATAAAACACCCATGTGATAACTTTTTGAATAGTCGAGCCAATTCTGTCCTCCGACAGTTCTTGTTTATAGATGTAATAGTACAGTCCCTGGGGACCTTTTGTGTGCAAAAAAGGTCCATAAATAAATGTTATACCAATGTAAAGCTAAATGTTTGAAGTTTACAAAAAATTTGGGTAGACATGTCAAATCATGGTACGTTTTGAGAAATCCAAGATGGCCGCCAAGATGGCCGCCAAATTATTGAAAAATGGCTATTACTCAATTTATATGATAAAATTAGTTCTTTTTTGTATTTATTTTGGTACAGGTGATGTTAAAACTTCACATCCTATTTAAACAATATGAAAAGGGGTCCTTTTCCTTTTTCTTATACATATACTCTTGTTTTCATAGATAAATTTGCTAAAAAAAGCATGAAAAAGTATCAAAAAACGACATGGGGCTGGCAATTTTTCCTATCAGTCGAGGCATAGTGGTGAAAACTAATATTTTTACCATATTATACAAAGACCTGACAAACAACTTACTAAATGTACCCTTATTTTTATTGTGTAAGAATGTGGATTCTGACATTCCTAAAGTGGGTGGGGTACAGGAAAATTGAGTCCCAATGTCTAGTGAACTGATATATAATGATTATTAAGACTAAGAATAACCAACAAGATTACATTTTAAAATGTTCTTAAGTCTTTAATTTTTTAAAAGATATTTTCATTCTATCAACAGCATTAATTTTTTCTGTTGCCATGGCAACAAAGTGGTAAAATGAGAGAAACCCGGAAACGTATGAGGCTTTCACTTTAATCATTTCAAGCATGTTGTAGAAGTTAATGTCATGATTATGCATTACAGAATTGGATACATTTGAAACATAAAAACATCATTTCAAATTTCACTACATTTACTTTCTATGAAATTGAAAAAACACAAATTTGTATAAAAACATCGCCGTTACTGTAACAATAAAAACGCTTAAAGTTTTAGAGGCAAAAGATAATAATGAAATTTACTCAAAGTTGTATTGAAAAATAAAATTTATGCTTGATGTTTGGCCCGATTTGAGAAAAAAGTTTTCAACATACTTCATTTATTGGTCATTAAATAACAAATAAAGCAAAAAAAAATCCCACAGATCAAATGTGATAAGAAGGAATAGACAATATGTCAATATGTTGTGATGAAGAACGTCTTCAAGATAATGTGCCATAGATGCATCTGGAAAACCTAAATGATTGTGTTCTCATCTCAATGCAATACAAGCCCAGCTGAAATATTTTAACAGTTGGAGAAACATGGATAAAATCACCATTTTGTATTAAATATTTGACACTTTCTTCTATTCTGAAAAATATAGAGCAGCATAAATTATAAATCCTGTATAGATGTCTTGTTACGCAAAACAAATAGGCCATATTCCACCGTTGCCTCAAAATTCTTTATAAATTATTTTGTGACCTACAGGTCAGACCACCTAATGCTTTGTTATACGGTCAGTATGTCTTAAATGATCATCAACAAACTCCGGACTGTTCATCAAATGGTATCTTGTCTTATTACCAAAAACAACCCCTCCATTTAAACACGTTAAAATAGAGAAAAACAGAATCCCTAAAACGTTGTATAGAATCTCCATTGTTTTACGTATTGAAAATCGGATACAGAGGGGAAAAACTCTAGTATATAAATAACACATGGGTTTGTGGGTAACAGTAAAAATATCATCCCGAGAAAAATACTGTTACCCGAGGCTACGCCTCGGGTAACAGTATTTTTACGAGGGATGATATTTTTACTGTTACTCACAAACCCATGTGTTATTTATTTTATTACCCCGAACAAAAATACTGAGATGATCTGAAATTGTCAACTAAATCTAACTGCAACAAAAATAAACCAAGAGTAACAATAACTAAACTGTCCTTACCTTTTAAGTTTTAAGTGTACTTTACTGTTAGTCCTATAAATATGACGTCGCTTTGAGATATTTTTGCTTCTGGGCAAAGCAACGTCATATCGAAATTGCTCAAAAACCCATAGCATGTTCCGCCAGAAAATCGGGCGGAACGAAAAACAATGAAGACAGCGTGTATTTACATATTTTTTGACCTATTTATGAACAAAACTAAAAAATAAATACCTTTTGTCAAAATAATTAAACTGTCACATCCGAAAAATCATGATTAAATCCTCTCATGTATTTCAATTCCTTTTACAGCCGATAAACAAATGGCGGCCGTAAAGTGCGCGAAATCTGATTGGCTAATTCAAATGCAAGCGTTTAACTGAGTCAGAACAATCTAACGGAATATTTTTTTAACGAAATAATTGCCCATGCACCGTCAGTGTGTTTGAATATATTTTTCCGTTCGAAAATTTGGAATCAATCTGTAAAGCACCTTGTTTAACCAGTATGGCTGATAGACAAAAACAGATTGATGTTTATATTTTATTTTAAATTGATAAGTACATCGTTTGACAGTTTTTGTGTATGATTGAGCATGAAATTGAAAGAAATATGATAATCTTTTGAATAAAGCTTGCAAGGCAGGACAATAGACATTTTTGGAATTTTTTATGATGCTATGGGTTTTTGAGCAATAACTATTAGACGTCAGGCTTGACCGACAAAAACTATAACAAGCCTGTAACGTCTAATATATTGGACTACTTTACTGTATGCCTACTTGAGAAGTTTTCTTTTTCTTTTATTCTTTAAGCATGTGATGATATCTACAAACCATAAACATACAATAAGCTAGGTTTTAGTTAGGAAACAAAACACTAACCCATTTACACGGTTATGATCTGTGAAATCTGATCCTTCTGTTTCCAGAATATTCTTAGCATGGTTTTTGACAAAATTACGATGATATCCTATGTCCACCATATCTGTAACATTTCACTGATTAAATTTGTTAAATAATCCTTTGTTGCATGCTTAAATCTTCTGCATGTTCCAGTTTGACACATAATTATTTACATTGCAATCACTTCCGTTGAAAACGGATGTTCACTTTTTGACTATTGAGCAAAAAGATATTTTATACGCGAAAAGCACACCAGGGTGCAAACAACTAAATTTTATGAGTGTCATAGGGACTCCAGAGGAGAAATTGATGTCCTATCGGGGTTTAAACGTTGAAAATAAGAATGAATCGAGAAAAAAAAATGGCGGCCATTTTATTTCATTTATATTTAGAAAATAGACCACGTGACCGCTTAAAAAATACTGTTACCTATGTAACAGTACAAAATTTTTAGTCACGTGGTACACTTGCATTAACAGTAAAAATAACTCCCAGAGGCCTATGGGAAATTAGCATTACGAAAAAAGTGAGGGGTAATAATATACATTAAGAACAAGCTACAGAAGAATGTACACAAAACTAAAAGTTAAAAGTCTCAAATTAATTATACAATATAAGTAATTCCGATATGTAAACAATATGAGTTTTGTTACCGCAGTCTCACTTCGTTCTTTAAAAATATGTGACTATTTAAGCAGATGGCGGTCTGTTTCATAATATTATTATAAATCACGTTGAAAAGAATTTAAGAGTATGTTTATATGCAAATAGTTTTACATAGTAATTTCTAGATTTGTATAATTGTTGAAATTTCATTTAATCTCGAGTATTCTTTTTCAATGCTTATAACAATGATATAAATTTGTTGATTTTAACGCATTTGAACATTTTATATATATCAGAAAGGCACTTAATAAATTTGGTATAATTATAAATTTTGTTTTTGTTTTCGACCGTTTTTCACCAGTTATAAGAAAAATATGTGTTTGTAAAACTTTGGGAGCGATTTTTGTTCCACTCACACAAAAAAGTATGTAAATTGTCGTCACGTAGTTATAAGCTATAACTGATATACAGGTAACATTCAAATAAAATCTCAAAAACATTGGTAATCATATCAACTGTGACAGTTTCGTTATTTTTTCATCAATAAATATCAATAAATCATGCGAAATAACCCGCGGCTAAACGTATCCAAAATTCATATAAGCTTTCTGTTTTAAATAAGTCATTATATAAGTGCAGTCTTAAAACCATAGTTTCAATGTTATTGGAGATAAGGAAAAACAGCATTTCTCAAATTATCCGGTAGCATGTAATGCACATGAACACTAGTGTATTCCAAATTAAGATTAAGTTTAGGACGTATTTGAATTTGGAATCAGGATGACTTTGATTTCTTTATTTTACAAACAATTTTACTGTTTTCTTTATTTGAATAAGCCAAATTTCACTTACTTATATACTTTGTAATTCTGATTTGCCTTAAAAGATGACCAGAAGGTGTCAATATTATGAAATAATGCACGGAGGGAAACATATTAAGGTCTTCCTCAGTAAAGCAGGAAAAGTCGCCACAAAGCCTTTTTAAAGTGTTGATGTGACGTAAACATAGGATATATTTGTATGGCTTTTTCAGATGGGACTAAACCAACATTGTTAATCAGTAATCACCTGCCGCGTAGCGGAAAGGGGATTATTGGAATGGACTCCGTCTGTCAGTCCGTCCGTCCATAACACTTTCGTGTCCGCTCCATAACTTTTTAACCCCTGAAATGTTTTTAAAATAACTTGGCACAAGTGATCACCATAATGAGACAATATGCAGAGCGCAATAATTGGGTTGCTACCCCCAAGGTCAAGGTCACACTTTAAGGTCAAATGTTAAAAGTCTTCATTTAATAATAAAAAGTCTACATTTCGTGTCCGCTCCATAACTTTTTTAACGCTGTAAAGTTTTGAAATAACTTGGCACAACGGATCACCATTATGACACGACGTGCAGTGCGCAATAATTGGGTTGCTACACAACAGGTCAAGGTCACACTTTCCGGTAAAATGTAAAAAAAGTCTACATTTCGTATCCGCTCCAAAATTTTAACCGCTGAAATTTTAAAACATTTTACATTCTTTAATCTTATTCATTTTGTGATAAGCATATAAAACACTGGATTTATTTCATCTCATACAGTTAGCTAATATCTTGGCACAATTGATAACCAGTGTAAGAACATGTGCAAAACGCAAACATTGGGTTGCTACACCAAAGGTCAAGGTCAAATGTATAAAAATCTACATTTCGTGTCCCCTTCATAACTTTTAAACCTATGAAATTTTGTTTAAATAGCTTGGCACAATCAGGTACGTATATTCATTAATATACGTACCTTGCACAATTGATCACCAATATGAGACGATGTGCAGATCGCAATAATTGAATTGCTACCCTGAAGGTCAGGGTCACACTCAACGATCCAATGTGAAAACTTTTTTTTCATGTCCGCTCTACAACTTATTGACAATTCAAAGGTTTTAAAAATACTTAGCACAAATTATCCCCACCACGACACAATTAACTGACCTAAACTTCCAGGTCGCTGCAACCAAGATCAAGGTTATATGTTCTCCATAATTTTTTGACTTTATGGAAGATTTTAAATAACTTGGCACAAATAATCGCCATCCTGAGACTATGTGCTTATGATATACATGACACAACATCAAGGTCATGGATGGTAAAAGGTCAAGAAGTACACATTCATGTTTCTTGGAAGCCCGGAGTAAACTTTTTTACACAGTGTAAATATAGGAAAAACATGAAAATATAGTATATAATACTATTAAATTTGCTTAAATCACGATCTTGTGGTCAAATTCATTTATCCCAGGGGTCACTTCAATTTACATAAAGGAAAAGCTAAAAAAAATTACTTCTCCCAAACTGATGCCTATAGCTAATTATTTCTGTTGTAGCCTTGTATAGACCAGTACAAAATTTATTCAAATGAAAATTAAACCCATCTCTAGGGTCAACTTATTTCATATGGAGACACATAGGAAAACTTTTTAAAATCATATTTTAGATTATCTTAGATTTTGGGTTAAAAGCTTTGTCAAAAAAAACTTAATTCATTTTTGAAATCTTGACAATCTGGTCAAAGTTGACCTAACCCCAGGAGTCATTTTACTTTGTGTTAAAAAGAAAAGCTTTAAAAACTTTCTTCTCCATAAATAAAATGCTTTGATATTTAAGTGTGAAGCATTCATTCTATGACCATATCAATTTATGTCACGATATAAATCATATAATAGTAATAATACACAACTTCAAAGCTTGGTAAAGTCATGATCCGTTTGATTGTAATTACCTTTCCCAAGGGACAATTGATTTACATAGTCTAACTTATATATAAAATCCTTTATAAAATCATCCCTTTAACGCCATTGTTTAGAGCATGTGAAACAACTTCTAGAAGACTTTTACCATGTTTCTTCAAATCATGAAAGGACCGGGTCTGGGTTATACGCCAATTTAAACATTTCTTTGTTGACAGCTTGAAGGTTGGTTGAACTATCTGACTTTCATGGATAAATAACCAGAAGAGTAATGACCAATTTCTACTAAACTACGGTACTAACTTTTTTGACAGACAAATGACCGTAAAACTCAATGTCCGAGATCAATTGTTGTCTGTGGAACAAGAGACGTCTGGATTTCACAACCGACACTCTCCGTAAAGTGCTAAGTTTGCAGGCATCAAATAATGATCATGAGTCTGGATTAAAACAATAGCCGGTTGAACCAGGTGATGCTTCCTGACTAGGTTCTGGACACACGCCCGGCGACTATATGCTCCCCCATAATTTTTCGGGGAGCATAAAAATGGGCTTGCCTAGATGTCGATTTTTATATAAAAAAACTCTTTATGTCAGAAACCACAATGCAAGACCATTTGGTTGGAAGAATTGGCTTGTGTTCCTCTTTGATTGTCCAAATCATGGCCCCACTGTTATAAGGTGACCTAGAATTTAAGACCTCGTGACTTACTTTCTTGTTTTTGAAGCTAAAGAAATTTGTATAACAGACACAATATGATTTATCAGCTGACCTTAATTTGTTCTTGTGATTTTTTTGTATTTTGATTGTAAAATTTCAGATGCAGAAATATACACTGAGATCTTTTGACCTAAAATTTTATCTTATGCAAGTTTGAATTTCATAATACAAGCTATAACCAAAAAGTTTGAACTCAACAATAAATTTGATTGTCATTAAAATTTGATATTGGTTGACCTAGAATTTGAACCAGTGACCTATTTATTTCTCGTTTTAGCTGCAAAGCCTTAAATGTGTACCCTATGTACAGTTTCAAACATTTGATAATGTTTATATACATTTCTACCTTAAGACTGCCTATTACTTATTATTATCACCATTAATTATCCTTTCCAAACATAACAACATTCACATTTGACATGACCTTTTTCTATGTATAGCAGTTTGAAAAAAGCAAATGCATGATGCAAATTCTTGAAATGAATTTATTCATCTACATGTAATTTCAAAATATCTGTGTTGATAATTTGCTAGAATTAATGTGACTTCCTTTAATGTTACATTTTATTTTCAATTTGTTACCATGGCATTGTGCACAGATTATTTATCTATAAGTTTGTTTTATTCTTAACAACATGCTTAAAATGCTAAAAGTTGAGTGTCATACGTTTCAGGTGTGTCTTTCATTTTACTTCTCCGTTGCCATGGCAACAGAACATGTTGAATATTGACAAACAAAATATCAGTCTAAGTTTTCTTAATTATTTATAACTTTAGGTACATTCCTAAGTGCAATACATGTTGACTATTCATAGTTTTAATTATAATAACAAACCAGTGAACAAAATACTGAGACTTAGTTTTCGTTACCCCACCCACTTTAAGAATATCAGAATCCACATTCTTTTACAATAAAGATAAAAAATAAGGGTGATATTAGTATGATATTGTTGAAGTCTTTGTAGTATATGGTAAAAATATTCATTTACACCGCTATTCCTTAGCTGGTAGGAAAAAAATGTCAGCCCCATATCAATTTTTGATGATTTTTTTCATGCATTTTTTAGCAAATTTATCTATGAAATTCAGAGAATATGAAAAAAAAAATGGAAATGCCCTCCATTTTCATATTGTTCCAATAGGATGTAAAGTTTTAACATCACCTGTACCAAAATAAATACAAAAAAGACTAAATTTTATCATGTAAATTGCGTATTAGCCATTTTTAAATAATTTGGCGGCCATCTTGACGGCCATCTTGGATTTCTCAAAACGTACCATGATTTGACATGTCTACCCAAATTTTTTGTAAACTTCAAACATTTAGCTTTACATTGGTATAACATTTATCCATGGACCTTTTTTGCACACAAAAGGTCCTCAGGGACTGTACTATAAGGAGATGTTTGATCAAGTTTACAGTAATTGTCATTTTTGGGAATTTTTTGGGTTTTCTAGGGCCCAAATGGTTTAAGGTTTGGGTTTACTTCCCAAAATACTTGGGCCCCTCACCCCTTTTGGTTTTTGAATCCCTACAGGGACTTTTTATTTTTTTTCATGTGGGGGAAGCTAAACCAGCTAAACTTACGGAAAAATCGGGGGGTTTTTACTCGGGGGGCCAGTTTTGTCCCCGAAATTTTAAAAAAAGGACACCTATTCTTCCTCCACCATTAAAATGGAAAAGTCCGGCCCTATGACCTATAAAAGTTTGGGCGGTTTTGACGTTTTAAAACCCAACAAAAAAACAAAAACAAATTTTTTCAGTTTTCCGTCTCATTTCCAGATCATTTCTGACATTTTTTTTTCAACCAAAATTTTCCAAATTTTATTGTTTTTCCCCTTAAATAAAACCCAAAACCAGGGAAAAAGGTTTTAAAAAAAAGTTTTTTAAAAAAAAATAATGTTTAAGAAAATCCATAATCTTATGTGCAGATTTTGTTTGTTAATATAAAGATTTAAGATTGTTTGATCCCATTTCAGTTACATCACATCATGCAGTCCCGCTCATCAACAGCTTCTATCACTCTTATTTGGTATCTGGTTTACCATGGTTCATAACTCACAACAAAATTATATGTCCACTGAAGCCTTGTCTAGGAGTGTAGCTGGCAGTATGTTCCATACCTGTGCGATGGATCCTGCCAAGGTAGGTTTAATGATAGCGTGTCTAGGAATGTAACTCAAGCCTGTGCCATGGATCCTGTCAAGGTAGGTTTAATGATAGCGTGTCTAGGAATGTAACTCAAGCCTGTGCCATGGATCCTGTCAAGGTAGGTTTAATGATAGCGTGTCTAGGAATGTAACTCAAGCCTGTGCCATGGATCCTGTCAAGGTAGGTTTAATTATAGCGTTACTAGGAATGTAACTGGCAGTTTGTTCCAAACCTATGCCATGGATCCTGCCAAGGTAGGCTAAAGGATAGCATGTCTAGGAATGTAACTGACAGTTTGTTCCAAGCTTGTGCCATGGAACCTGCCAAGGTATGTTAAAGGATAGCGTGTGTAGGAATGTAACTGACAGTTTGTTCCAAGCCTGTGCCATGGATCCTGTCAAGGTAGGTTTAATGATAGCGTAACTAGGAATGTAACAGACAGTTTGTTTCAAGCCTGTGCCACAGATCGTGTCAAGGTAGGTTTAATTATAGCATGTCTAGGAATGTAACGGGCAGTTTGTTTCACTCTGTGACCTGGTCTTAAAACCTTGTAAGTCCAAAGATGTAGTCTAGTCTTAGGACAATTGTTTTATGAAATTAAATAAAACATTAAAATTGCAACCTGTATAAAAGGATCGGTCACTCATATAATAGGTGGTCTATAAACACAAGTTTTTCTGTATCTATATACGACATGCTACCTTTTTAGGTTGAGAAAGCAAGTAGAATTATGCAGCTGCTCATTGACAACTTTGGAGTCGCACGAGTATTTGGACAGCACAACATCGAGTATTTCGCGGAGGTCACGCACATTGAGATCCATGTCAGAGAGACATTCAAATATCAGTACAGTTATCCAGCTGAAGACATTTTACCTCGTAAGTGTTACCGTCGTTATGGTACATGTGTCAGTGGTAGTTATCTCCCCTTTACTCGACCATTCATCACAGTCATTGGGTGAAGGATACGTCAAATCATGAATATATTAATTGATATGCAAATTATTAGAAGGAAGTGGGGCGGGTTGAAAAAAGGCCATATATTTTTGCCAAAATTCTAAGATGAATATCAAACATTACTAAAAATATCATGTTATTTGTGTAACATGCTATTAAGTTTGGTTTATAGACAGGTTGATACAGTGATGTTATTCATTCAACAACTTCAGGTTATGTGAGTGAGCATACAATAACTTTAGACCATGTGAGCATTCAATAATTTCAGATTATGGGAGCATAATAATTTTAGACCATGTGAGTGTTCAATAACTACAGATTATTTATTCAGATATTGTGGGAATTTAAAAATTTGAGACTGAATAGAATTATTCTGGAAACGATGAAATAAGAAACTGTATATCAGATTTGTTTAAGACTTTATAAATATTAGATAGACTGAAAATTAGTCATTCGCATCTAAGTTTTGCAAGCTTATTAACAGCATAATAATGCAGTTTTGTTATTTTTGTTTGTTAAGTTTTTAAAAAAAGTTTTGTTTATTTTTATTGTTTTAACAATAATTTGCATGCCTTAACCACAAGTTATTTTATTACTAGTCAGTTAGTTTAATTTTGATGTGATATCATTTGTGTAACATTTTATACAAAGACTGATTTTTGGACATAAAGAAAAAAAACAAAAACATTTTAAAATAAAAAAAAAAAGCTTTTAGCTTAGTTATTTTGTAAGAAGTATTGTCCTGTGGCCTGTACTACAGTTAAACATTTAACTGCTAACATTTATATGTAATAATACCCTAAAATGCCATTCACATGTCTAATTTTTGGCCGGGTTGCACAGGTGCAAACCCGAGTTAAAGTAAGGTGAATGTCGGGCGCGGGCCTCTTGATATTTGGTATGCAGCATTAAAAATGGTCATACAGTTGGATTCAATTTCAGGTCTGACGCTTATCCACTCTGTTCGTGTATGCTGACTTAATCAATTAAATTTTTGACATTAATGGTCAATGATATGATACTTCGTGACAGTTTTCTCAGCAACTACTTATCACAGCTTATACAGTATTAACATGTTGCCCCATACCGTGGGCATCGATTTCAAGTCAGTCGCTCATCCACTTCCTGTTTACCGACTTAGTTAAGTTTTCGACATCAATGTTCATTGGTAGAAAATTTTAGTAACATCACAGCCTCATGATATTTGGTATACAAATGCAACCCGGCCTTTTCTGTCTTTGACTCATTTTCTTAAATTACGGCCATACTATCTATATGCAGTGTATACATATGATATCACACAAAACAAACGTAGATTTATACATATATATCATGCAAAATTATGTTGTATTAAATCTTGTGTTGTGTGCATGTTTCATTTTTGCATGTATAGGTCACCGAGTGCTTCATGCATTAGTTCTGTATATGTTATCCGAGGGTAAACTGTCGGGATTTAACCCGTTCACTCATGGTAAGAAATCATCGTAATCACCACGTATAAGGTTGTCATCAGTATTTTAAAGCTTATAGCTTCGTAATTACTCCATGTAGTTAATGCTTTTCATAGATTGTCTTTTTTTTATGTGCTGTAAAATTGGTCGTCAGGGCTGAGATTTGTATAGCAATTTTAAGGCTTTTAAAGTACAGCAGTGATATCGCTAAAAGCTTGAAGAATTTGCTTATATATTGATGCAGCTAGATTTTTATATAAATCACAGGTTGCTGCTTAATTTTTAGCGGACTTTTTCTGTAAGTTTCACAAAATGTACATATTGTCACCTTAGTGCAATAACTGGTTAACTCCTATTACATTTAAAAGGATGTTACCCTTTAATGCACAAAGGTGACAATATATAGACATCAGTCAATCTAATAGTGCGGTATAATTTTATTGTTAAAAAATGTGATTTGTTTTTGTATCTTTATACAGTTCCAAGCATAGTATATGAGCAGCAATGTTGGTTAGCAGATATGAAATGTGATATTGCCAAAATCTAATACATTGTTTCAGATAAGGCTCTTTAGTATTACTATTTCTGAACTTGAACAAATTTCCCCCGGTCGTGATAAAACCAAACTTTAAATGCCATTAAATTTTGCTACAGTTTGTATATTAAACAGGCATTCAAGAAATTCACCAAGTTTAGTGCCAAGGTCTGGCAAAATCTGATTTTGACTTACTTGTCCATTTTAATCTAAAGCATTTCTTAACTTGTCTGTAGTGTTTTTATACAGTTAATTCTTGAAAATTTCCACTTGATCGTATAGGGCTGTAGGACAACCTGGGCAATATGGACAATTGATTTTGCCAGCAAAGGTCAGATTCTCTCAAATCAGAATTTTTCATCATAACTTTGTTCATTTTGAAAAGATTTGGTACAGAAGCATATGCGTTTTGTTGAACCTATTCTGTTATGTTGTATTAATTGATGAATCAGAAAATCTAGGAATTATTTTAAGTAGCATACCATACAGATTCATGCTAATTACATGAAAATTCTGAAAATTTATTCAAAGGAAAGATATTTTGAAGTGAACAAAGAAAGTAATTAATACATTGCAAATGGCACTTAGAATCCACATAAGTTACAAAAGAAGGGTCAAAATATGCAAAAGTAGCCCTGTGTAAGTCACGCAGTAGATTTATGGTGATAAATACTGAAAAACTTGCTAAAAAATGTAATATATAAATTATTACTTGAATCCTTTTTACTTTTTTAAATATCTTAGTACATTTTTCTCAAGTTTGATTTTCTTGAAAAATTTTACCTTTAAAGGTAAGTATATAATGAGGTGATAATAAAGTGTAAGAAATGTTGATTTTTAATGGATGACAACCTTATATATTGCTTCAACCATCCTTCTCATTAACTCATCGCATAGCACACTTACACCCTGTTCTTACTGACAATTTTTAGTGCCCTTTATACATATATGTAATTCTTATTTCTAGTTTTGGAAATGTTCAGAAAAAAACAAAAACATGTAATACTAACAAAAGTCAAGTTGCGGATTTGTAGCTGATGGGATTTTTATTTATTTTTTGGTTACACGGAAAGTTCTTACCTACAGTAAATGTTCTATATCACCTTTCGATGGCCTTAGTTCACAGGTTTCACTGTAATTGCAATATACCACTGAGAGTGAGAGCAATGTAAAGATTTTTGCTTTTCTTCTTTTTTTTGTTGCACCAGTATGTGTTACCTGTTACACACTGTGGCTTTATAAAAATATTTTTGGTGTTTTGGTACATAAGTTATAAGCATTTAACGTTTTATTTCTGGTAGATTTATACAAGTAATATATATATGAGTATCTCAATAGGGTTGTGGTAGTGTGATGATATTATTAGATTTAAAGAATTGATCTTGCAGACAGTAGGTTTTTATCTTTCAAAAGTAGTCAGACTTTTTTTCTTTTCTAGAAATGTAAATAAAGTTTGTTGATCCTTCAAAATTTCCAGACTAAACTTGAAGCAAAGGTGCAAGCTAAATTTTAAAAGAAAACGTCGGGGAAAAAAATTGAACGTTTCAAACGTTTATTTATATTCATGAAAATATTTACGGCTCAGATTTATGAAATTCTTATTTGAATTGCAGGAAAAGTAGCATATCATTCTGCTTTATTACATGCTTTTCGGTGGTTTATAGAAATATATCAGTGATATAAAACTGGTAAGTTCACTGTTTGAAACAGTGAAATTACCACTTTGATAATTTCACTGTTTTGAATTTAAGCCCCTTACGTTGTTTCAGTGAAATACCAGCGTGCACAGTACTGGGTACCAACTTAATGACGTGACGTCGTAAATGACGTCACGTTGTATTATTATTTGGCGCGCTTTTCATTCAGTATTAGGTTTAATGTCTTTTTAAAACGTTTCTTTGCATATAATAAAAAGAAAATTTGTTTAGTTTAGTGTAAGATCGTAATATATTTCACCTTGTGAACACCAAAAGTTCATATTTCACTCGTGGCTTCGCCACTCGTGTAATATACCTTTGGTGCTCACTCGGTGAAATATATTCCGATCTTACACTGAACTAAACAAATATCCTCTATATGTACATGACTGTAGTTTGCCAGAACTAGGTTCATGATGAACTTTAGAGAGGAATGATACTCTGGTGTCTGGCATGAGTAATGTTTTCCTGTTGGTCATATTTACTTAAAATTTGCTGTGCTGCATCTTTATGGCCGTTTAACATAATATCGCACATAATTCCAATTAGCATCTTTCGAGAGCCAAATATATGGAAGTTTTTAGAACCAATAACATTAGCGTCTTTTTGAGAGTCAATGAGAAAGTTTTTACTTCAATCTAAGCATGCTTAATGTCTTAAATGGACTAAATGGACTTGTCCATCCATCAATCTGGACATAACTGTTCACAATTTTAGGGAAAATTTCGAAATATGTGAAGTGAACAAGGCAGAGGATGATCAGAAGGCACAGATGCCTTGAATGAGTAGAACCATTTGCCATTAGCAAGCAAAGTGTTAATATCTTCTTCTCATATACAAATTGATGAATCATCCTTAGAATCAGGTGATCAAGTATCAAATTTGCTATTAAAAAAAGGTAATAAAAATGTTTGAGCAAGCTCTTTATTATTGTGGACAGATTCCAATTTCTTTTTCGGTGAGCAGTACAGTTAAAGCCCACTTCATACTGATGCAATCTGTTCCTGTTAAATAAAGTTAGTTATTTGAAACAAAAAGACCTATAGAAATCAAGTGTACATCTCCAAATATTCTGTGCGTAATTTCTCTCCAAAGCACATAATTTTAATTTTAGGTGATAAAACGCTGATAGAAAGTTGGCCTCCCAAATGAGACCACCTAGACCAGATATTTCTGATTCCACAGACTGTAGTAACATCGCTATAATTTACAATTTTTTTAAATATACATAAAAAACACGGCTCACATTGGGTAAGGAAAATACCTCTGGGTTGTTCGTCTGCCAGAAAGGTGATCGGTAAATAATTATTTAAGTTTTTGTGGTTATTTATGGGAAAATGTAAAATAAATAAACATTCCTTGAAATGAAATTGAAGTAATGTAAAGTTTTGCTCTTTTTCTTCCTCATTTTTTCCTTCTTTCCTTCTTTTTTTTCTTCTTTTTTTCTTGTACATTTTGTAAATGTTTACCTTTCTGTTTCATTATGGCTGTAACAGATTTATACAGTAAAATACTAAACTGTAAAAAATTTTGTGTTCGCGTTTTTTTCCAGAATTTGATTAGATTACTTATAAAATGGAATTTGATGTTTTGAATTAGAGTTTGGTATCATGTCATTTTCAACATATCCAGTGGCGTTAAAAAAATCTCATGGTACCACATCATTTTCAACATCATCAGTGGCAGTAAAAAAATCTCGCTTATAACTTAATTCTTATCAAACATGTTCCTGAAGATGAAGAAATTGGCTAAATAGGATCTAAACTGTCTATGGATGGAATGCTTTAATATAATTTGTCATAGGAGACATACACAGGGTGAAAGTTGTCTTCAAAAGCTTGTAATTTTTATGCTTGCTTGCTGTCAGCTATTTAATATAACATTTCGTTTTGTTTTAATTTTTGCTTTTATTTTCATAGTGCAAGATGAATTAACCTGCTTTGTACAAGGCTTTGTGTGTAACAATTTCCATTCCCGTGCCCGCGCATTTTTTGTGTAACAATTTCCATTTCCATGCCCTCACATTAAAAGATTATGGAGGGGGAGGGCAATGCATATTGTGTTTGTCCAGTTGTTTGTTTCTTTGTCTGTCTGTCTGTCTGTCATGGTTTGTCTGTTGACCTTTTTGTCAACAAGCAGTTTGCAATGCATCTTTATTCTATAAGCATTTATTCCTTGCTACAACATACTGCCGAATAAGAGCTTATTTTGATATACCTAAATGGAAATCTGGGTCACACATCACCTTTTATGATGGTCATGTTGGACATGTGAAGGAAATGTTAGTTGTGTGAGAGATTGTTGGTCATGTGACAAATAGTTAGTCATGTGACAGAATGTTAGTCATGTGACAATGTTAGTCATGTGAGTGTTGGACATGTGGCAGAGTGTTAGTCATGTGGAAGTGTTAGTCATGTGACAGTGTTAATCATGTAACAGAATCTTAGTCATGGGACAGTGTTAGTCATATGGGAGAGTGTTGGTCATGTGGCAGAGTGTTGGTCATGTGAGAGAGTGTTTGTGTTGGTCATGTGAGAGAGTAGGGTGTTGCTCATGTGACAAAGTTGGTTATGTGACAATATTAGTTGTTTAGTAATGTTGGTCATGTGATATTGTTAGTCATATGAGAGAATGTCGGTTATGTGGCAATGTTAGTCATACATAGCATTATGACCACTATACATTTAACTTTTAATGTGTTTTTATGTGGATATTTCCTGTAGATATTTAGTGTTTGAATTGCCTTTGCAAAGGAGAGCATTACTTGCTTTTGGCTTCAAACAGTGTGATATTTCCTCAAAAGTTGTACATGTAAATGCTTTACTTGTAAGATAAAAACCCATGCTTGATAAAATACTATGTTTCATTATTGAGAATTTAAAGCCTGCAGGCTTCAAGGCAACAAATTTCTACCTATATGACCAGTGCTGACCAAGATCTGCCAGCAGATTTATGGTGTCTGGTCATGGTCTGATCGTTAACGATTCAGTTAGTACAACAAAGTCATATTAAATAAAAAAAAATTCTAAAAATGATGAATGGTTTTGATAAGATATTGAACAAGGTATGTGATAATGGAACATTGTCTATACCCCAATTGAACAGTGCTTTTTCAAACCAAACAAAATGAACGTTTGAAGCTTTGAATGGCTACTATATGCATATAATTTTCTTAGATTTTAGTTTCAATTTAATTTCAATTTTTGACTGATAAATTTGTCAAGTTTTGAAAATTTCCAAGTTCTGTATTGCCTAGTTTTACTTACAGTTTTGAATCATAAGGGAAGGTAATTTTGATAGAGATATCTTGAAAGAAAACATTTTATAGGTTATTCGGTCTGAAAGAAGTGAGAGATTTGTTGAATACATGTAAGGTATGAAGATTAAAAACATTATATCATATCATAATATGTTGATGTGTAATCATAGATAAAAAAATATTATCAAAATTCTACAGATAATGTTTTTTTTTTGGTCTGGATACTTTGCATGTTTGTGTCAATTTGTAAAAAAAAAGAATTATCCCTCTTCCTAACTCTATCAGCATTTCTCAAATTAAACCTCTCAGATTATTTTTATGCCTTTATAAAGACTGATATAATTATATGTAGTTTTTCATACATCCAGGTTATCAATAATCAACATTATTTTCTGATTTTTTGCAGCAATATCCGAGGATGCGTATAAAGATATGGCATTTCCGCGACTGACTCGAACTAGGGAGACGGACCTTGCTCAAACCTCGGAGAGTCAGGAAGGTGACGGTAACCAGACCGAGGAGAAGAATGGGCGGAGAGAGGAGGAGGAGAGTAATTTACTGGTCACTTCCACCGTCTCTGTACCGGAAGTGTCACTAGTACCCTCTCCAGAAGTTACCAAGGTAGCTGTCACATATTTTATTTATTTGGACTTTATGACAATTACACACAAAAACATGAAATATAGCTGGCTATGACAGCTTATAGATTTGGTAAGAAAGACATCACTTTATTATTTCATTTAATTGGGCATAATGGCAATTACCCACAAAAATGTCATATGTAGGTCACCAACCAACTTAAAGATTTGGTAAGAAAGATATCACTGACGACAATTTTGAATTAAAGAAAAGCTTGCTTTAAAAAAAATACATATTAGCCCCAAAGATGATGTACCTTAAACTATATCAGTGCATAGAATCAGTTAAGTTTCAATGAGTTTTAGTATTAAAATTCATATATAAAATGTCTTATATTTAACATTGTCTGTTTTGTAATTTTCAGAGACCAAAGTCTGTAGAAGACAGTCTAAATGAAGCTCACAACCATACACTGCCGAAGCCCAGTCTTAGTCGCTATAATTCCGTCAAACGTAAACAACTTGAGCGACTAAGACAACGTTCCGATTGGTTCCTGGGACCGAGCACCGTTAGTAACACTGTCATTAACATCAGCAGTCCTGTCATCCACATTGACCCGCCACCAAGTCCACCCACCATACATCATGAACCAGTCCAGAAAAAATCTTCAGGGAATTCTGTAACACGCTCATCTTCCGAAGGAGCAGTTCTCGACGGTTTTTCCGATCATGATAGCATTTATAGTGACCATTCAAGCCGTAGTGAATCGCCGGCCTCAGAACCGGCGAGGACCAATAACGCAGCATTGTGTATTCGGCGAGATATTGTGCATTCGGATACATTAGATAGTTTAACGGGCGATCTTGAGGATAGCAATGGAAATTGTGTGGGATTAAGTGAAGACGAAATGACAGAATCAGAGATATGTTATTTTATGATCGAACATAAATACGGTGAACCGCGGTCCTAGCAAATAGTTTTTTTCGTGTTCGGAAACATAATAGGATAGTGACTATGAAGTGTAGAATTCATCACGGGGAATTTAGTTTATAGAAAATTGGATAAGGAAACCTACATTATAAAAGCCAAATAGAATATCTGAAAATTTGAGAGAGAAAAAAGCATCAGCAAAGATCATAATAAAGTTCTTTTTTAAAGATTGATGAAATTTTAGGCTTTAAATTTCAAAATGTGTACAAAAATGGCTCAGTAAATATAAAATTTTTAGCAGACGAGTCTAAAAGTAGGTCTGATCGTCTAAAGTTAAATGACTATGTAGTATATTAATGGTGTTTCTAAGGTTGTAGCTCTCTACTTTTTTTGTAGTCGTACAATTTTATAATGTGTCCATTGATCAGTGATCGTAACATCTTTCATGTAGTTTACTTTTTAGGGAGGCTTCAATATGTTTCAGATATATTTGAGCCGTGTCATGACAAAACCAACGTAATGCGTTTGCGATCAGTATTGATCCAGACCAGCCTGCGCATCCGCGTAGTCTGATCAGGATCCATGCTGTTCGCTATCAGTTTCTCTTCTTGTTATAGGGTTTGTAAGCGAACAGCATGGATCATGATCAGACTGCGCGGATGCGCAGACTGGTCTGGATCCATGCTGGTCTCAAACGCATTATGTTGGTTTTGTCGTTACACGGCTCATTTTCTGTTGAATTTCTTATTTTCTTATCATTGAGGTGTTTCATGTTGATTGGTCACATTGAGTGATTGTGTATTTAGTTAATTTACACTAGCTTATGACGTTATGGATATAGATGCAAACTTGGCTTTAAAGGCGATTTAAATTGATAACTTTCCATTTCTCAGTAAAATAGTAGCCATGCTGTTTAGATCTACGCTAACTGTTTAGTGCTAGGCCAGTTGGTCAAAGTTCACTTATTTAATTGGAAAACATCTCCAAAAATTGTCATGATACAATTTTTTATACAAAACTGAATAAAGGTTGTTTAGTAGTTAAAAACAGTTGAGATAAAATGCTGTTATTTGAAATGTAACTGCGTGAACAAGTATTAGTTAATGTAATTTATATAATTTTTATATGTATGGTTAGAATTATAACCAACCTATAATTCGCTAAATATAAGTTTTCAATATATCGTCTGGAGTATAATGAAAATAGGGATGTTAGAAATGTTCACACATTTATCTTTATGTAATACTGATTTTCTTAAATTATACATACCGATAAATGCTCCGCATGAACACAAAACTGTGTGTATATCGGGATACTGAACAATTTATGTTAATTTTATATTTATGCAGTGAGTGCTATATAGTTTACAAGATTTCCACTCAAATAATTTTTAAAAAAAGATGAAATATTCAGATATTTCATATTTTTATTTTGTGTTCACATTATGTATATATTGAAATTGAATTGACTTAAATTTGTCTCAATGTCTTCATATATTTGCTTCGGTTTTTTTTTTTGAAGATATATGTCTACACAGAATGGTTTTCCCCTTTTTTTTTCTACAATGAACTGTAATATATACTTTATTGCCTAACAATATGCCTTAGGGACTTTTTTGACCAAGATTTTTTGACATAATAGTTCTTTTTTGTGTTCAGTATTTTACATTATAGATTTTTATTTTTTTGCCGTTTTTCAATATTTATGTATAGGGTGAGCTGCAAAGTTCTTGTGAAGGTCCAAAAGTTTCGATTTCTCATTTAAGGTCAGCGTTCATTAAAGGGTCAAAGGTTGTGAGTCTTTGAAATTTATGCAAGTGTTGAATTGGTTGATCTGTTTCTGAAGTTGAATTTACCGGCCCGAATTTACTACTTAATTAATTGCATTAGAGTCGCATATATATTTCAATATCTGAATCTAGTCGTGAAATATTTAACCATTTCCCCGCTGAATTTGCAAAATTGATTTGCCCTGCTTTGAATTTGAAACGGTCCATTCAATGTATTAAGGGATTTAATTATCTAAAATTTAAAATGGAGCTGCCACAACTTTAGAGCTTGGTCAGACCCCACAAATGTGCAGGTTAGCCTGTCTCTATACTGGTGGCAAAGACTTACCACATTGGCTTTCAGCTGTCAAAGGTTAAAGTTGGCTGACTTGTACGGTAGTTCTACTTATAAAAGTTGTGTATTCGGCGCAACACTGAAATTAACTTGGAAAACTTTGAATTTTTATTTTTTTTAAATGGACCTTCTTTTCATTTATATACTAATGTATTTTTTGTGTTATTTATTTTGTTTGTCTCGAAGATTGTTTCTTACTGAAAGTCTAGTTTTCCTTTGGTGTAGTTTATTAATATTATTTATATACATGTATATTTACACAATTAAATTTAAGGGTTGTCGACAATGTCAATGTTATTTTTCGCTTTCCAAAGGTTGGACTTAAAGTGTTGTATTTAATTTACCTTATGTAACGATATTTACTTTTAATGATAAATTTGTAGATTGTATTTTGTTATATTTTTTCGACTTGATTTTGAATTTTTTATTCTTTACTAAAGGATGAAACTTTTGTTGACATTTCTGACTTTAGTTTAAAAAGGAGGAAACAAACATTTTAGGTGGCAAGTTAAGTGAGAATCAGATCTTTTTTTTTTTTTCTCACATAAATTTAGTGCCAAGTTTGAAGTTATTTTTATTACTTAGCTTAATCTACTTATCAAGGTAATGAAGCTGATAAACTAACATTTTGTCGCTATGTCCCTGACATTGAGAGTAACATTGACCTTGAATGTGTCAATGTGACCTTGACCTAGATATTTTTTTGTTACTATAGTATTAAGAATGTCAGTTAGACCTTGGGGTTTAGAAAAATGTCACAATTTTTATTGCTAAATTTTGATTATTAACATTTATATATTACATATATTAAGCTCTCTAAACTTTTCTTGATGTAACTATTTTATCAAAATTTAGTGCAATATTTATTTATTTATGCTAATAGTCACATATGTACCATTTGAAAAAAAAAGCAATATATGTTTAAAAAACATGACAGAGTATCCCTGAACTTTTTGACAATAAATGTAATTATGAACCCCTATAAATGTATGATCCTTATTTCTTTTAAAGGAATTTTTTTACTTATTTTTTTGAAAACTGGGTATTTGTGACCAGGTTGTATTATTTCTTTACTTCTGAAAAAGTTTCCTTGTTATGTTGGTGAATTTTCACTTGTTCTTTTTTCTAGTTAAAATTCTTTCAGTTAAATTGTTAACAGTTAGCCATTTGTGTGTTTGTTTAAAGTTATAGTTGAATGTAAGTAAACTCAAAATCAAGCAAGAAAATTTAAAGAAAAAAAGCTACTTTATATTTTGAATAATTTGATTTCTTAGTTTTTTGACAGACAGTCTTTTGTTTAGTCTGCAGGGCAAGTAAATAATGACATAGTAACAATATCTGTTGAACTTCTGTGTGTATACGTGTGTACATGACATAATGCTGACATCATCAATATTTGTGAAGTTTTATCTTGAACATGTCAGTAGAATGAACTCTGAAGGTTTTTTCCTATTTTGTTATCCTAGCTGTTGAAACTTTTTTGCTTTGCAAAATTTGACAACTTGAAATACAGAGCACTTTAAAATATTGAATATAAATAAAATATATGTATTTGTATGGAATTTGTTTATGATATTTTATGAACAGTAAGTCTGTCCCCTAAGTTTATTCCCAGTTTATTCCTGGCATTATAATTGCTGATTTTTCTTTTTCTTTTATATAATTCATATGTTAAGATTTAAGAAACCTCGGTTTCTGGTTAAATCATACATTACTAGTCAGATATAGCCTTTATTCTTGTATTACATGAATGATCTAAATTTGAAGGTCCCAAACATTATTTTAAATATCTGCTATTCATGTATAACATACTAACTAATCTATAAAAGTTCCGAAATCTTGCTTAATAAGAGACTAGTGAGAGGAAAGCTATAATTGTAAGGTTTTACTTATGTTACACAGAATTAAAGAATTTCGTAAGTTAAAGAGATGACCGTTTTATAAATAAAATATTGTAAATTCAAATAATCTGCATGTTACAATTTCTTTAATCGTGTTTTGCTGAGGTCTTCGGGGGAAAAATGTGCCACCCTGTTATATAAATAGTACATTAATAAATTTTGTTTATTATTTGGCCTATTTTGTTGGCCTTTCTGCTGTTGCTTCCATAGACTTTTTGTAAGAATGTAGGTGTATTTATTCTTGATATTTAAATTCTCTCATTCCATTTGCAATGCTAGAATTTTTTTTTGACCTATTTGTATATTTTTGCAAGAGAAGATGGATGGATTATAGCCACATATATCTTCTGAATTGAGTTAGCAAGTGTGAAATATGACTGCCGAAAGTTGTTTACAATAGTTATATGCAATAGACACATGAACGTTTATTCTTTTATAAGTGTGTTATCAAAAAGTTTGTGTAGGGATTCTAGTTTTTAATAAAGAAATATAAATTTTAGTTTTGTGTAACACAAATGTAATTTTCACTATAACATAGCCACAGACTTGTTTACAGTATTCATTATGTAAAATATACATACAAAAGCTGAAAATTTAGCTAAATATTTAAGTTTTCAGAAGTGTTATGTTTTCTTTTGAAATTTATTTTAGTTGGGTAGAGATTTGGGGTGGGGGTGGCATTGATTTTGATAGCATTGTTATTATTGTGAATATTTGTTTTATTAGTAATTACTTCTTTCTTGCATTGATAAATTCAGTACAGCAGTATGTTGTTGTTGTTTTTTTGCATTGGGTATACCTGCATATTATATACTGCCACTTGTGAAATATTTATTTTCATACCACCCGATGAAAATAAATCCTGTATTTATAGAAAAAACTTGAATATCCTCTATATATTAATTCATGCACAGTAACTCTGACCTGTTAAAATTGTAAGCCGTAAATAACGAAACTAGTCTGACCAGTTTCTTGTTTCTTGTTCAAATGATTTTTTTTTATTGGACAGTTAAACAAATGAAAAAGTTATTTTTTTCCCCTTAAACTCTGGTATGTTTTGGTTAACCTAGTCAGTGTCTCTTTTTCAAGACTTTTAAATGTTGTTTTTTTTTGTGTCGCCTTGAAAAGGTGACATATAGGGGTTACTTTTGTCGGCGGTGTCGGCGGCGGCGTCTGTGTCGGCGTCGTTGTCGGCGTCGTTGTCGGCGTCCCCTAAAGCTTGTCCGGAGCATAACTCAGTCACTATAAGTCTGATTGACTTCAAACTTGGTATGCATGCTTCTTTCAATAACCCGAAGTGCAGTGCACAAGGACCGGTACTCTGCAGTTCTTATTTTTTGAGTTATTGCCCTTTGTTAATTTTCATACTTTAATTTTGTCCGGGCCATTTCTCTTCAACTAAAAAAGCTATGGACTTGAAACTTCATAGGATGATAGATCTCATTATTAAGAAGTGCAGTGCACAAGAACCAGTACTCTGCACTTCCTAATTTTTGAGTTATTGCCCTTTGTTAATTTTCATACTTTATTTTTGTCCGGGCCATTTCTCCTAATGTATAAAAGCCATGGACTTGAAACTTCATAGGATGATAGGTCTCATTAAGAAGAAGTGCAGTGCACAAGAACTGGTACTCTGCATTTCTTATTTTTTGAGTTATTGCCCTTTGTTTATTTCATACTTTAATTTTGTCCGGGCCATTTCTCCTTAAGTATAAAAGCTATGGACTTGAAACTTCATAGGATGATAGATCTCATTATTAAGAAGTGCAGTGCACAAGAATCGGTACTCTGCATTTCTTAATTTTTGAGTTATGGCCCTTTGTTAATTTTCATACTTAATTTTTGTCCTGGCCATTTCTCCGAAAGTATAAAAGTTATGGACTTAAAACTTCATAGGATGATAGATCTCATTAAAAAGAAGTGCAGTGCATAAGAACTGATACTCTGCATTTCTTATTTTTGAGTTATTGCCCTTTGTTAATTTTCTTACTTTATTTTTGTCCTGGTCATTTCTCCTCAAGTATGAAAGCTATGGACTTGAAACATCATAGAATGATAGATCTTATTGATAAGAAATGTAGTTATTGCCCTTTGTTATTTTTCATATTTCATTTTTGTCCTGGCCATTTCCCCTAAACTACATTGTTCACAAGGCGACACATCCGACTCGCGGAGTTCTAGTTTTTTGAAGCATTTACTGCAGTAAATTATCTTGTATTTTATATTATCCTTTACCTATTTTATTTTACCAATTGACAGATTTTCTTCTACTGCAATTGCACAAATAGCTTCCAGTTCATATAATATTATGTTTACTTAGCTCCGAATTTGCACATTGCAGCAGTCTAATGCAAAAACTACAATGAAAGTTAAAATAGGTGAAGTAAGGAAGCTATCCACTACTCGGGTGCCCGTTCATGCCTGAAATAATACAAGGTAGGGCACCTGAGGTCTTCCGCCAGCAGTAAAGCTGGAAAGTCACAATATGAACTATATACTGTGTTGGTGCAAAGTAAAACCCAACCAAACAAAAAACAAAAACAAAAAAAGATGAAAACTTTTTACAGGACTAAATGATATGGTCAATATGTGTTGTATAATGGTAGGCCCTGATAAATCATAATGAAGAGATACATGGTGAATTGTGAAGAAGTAAATACTGTCAAAAGGAAGATAAAATAGGAAAAGAATAAACAAATGTCTCATACTTCAGATATCCAGGGTCTAATTGATTATTTTAGATATAAAGCATTTTTTACACACCTTGTGAAAATAATTTTTTGTTGATGTTATTTTTTTTTAAGTGGCCAATTTCATATGTCCCGAAAGATATGTTTCAATTTTTTTTTCCTTTTATATTTCATGATATTGATAAAGTTTGTGACATGCACTTGTGCTACTATGAAGTTGTAATAATCCATTGAAAGTTTTTAGGTATCTAGCCCTTAACCAACAGGAAGTTATTAGTCATTGCCACCAGTATAGAGCCACTGGCCAGTTTTCACTTCCCTGCAGTCCAACCAGGCTCTTTACTGTCGGTAACATGATTTTTGTACTTTGATATTGAAATCCCCTAAACTTTGAATGGACTGTTCCATTTTCAAGTCAGGGCAAACACATAAATTTGGGAGATGAAGCCAGAAGGGTTTAGTGCTTATAAGTGAAGCAGCTAACGGTATAGAGCCTGGACAGGTGTTCAGGCTGACCTGGCCCTATATACTTATATGGCTTTGACAAAATCTTTCTTTTCACAAGTTAAAAGAAAAAATTACTGACACCCGAAAAGCGATAATTAACTGTTTAGAGTCGTTGATAGCAGTGAGTTTAAAATACAGTTTGTTTTTTGTTGACAATGTTAAATAGTTCATGATGCTTTTAATTATTACTTAAGTTTGTAAAATACTAGAATTGTTGCTGTTGTTGTTGTGTTTTTCTTTTGCAGGACTTTCAATAGGGCTTACATTATGTGGTTTCTGCTAATGATGATTTTGTTACCAACCTAAATACTGAATGATTCAGACTTTAGGCAGACATTGTACAATTTGTATTTTCATTTTTTTCTATATGTATATATATTTATTAACTACTGTGTTCCAAGATGAGTTAATGATCACAATAAATGTATTCTGTATTTTCCAGAATTTTTTCGATATAGTTCTATAAGATTGAACACAGATCATATTTTGCAGGCTGTTCAGTAGCTTTTTAGGGGAAAAAATCCTAGGAAAAGTTTCTTTAGAAAACTAAGAAACATAGAAGGGAAAAAATACTAGTTTTTGGCATAAAACTAGGTTAAGTATGTGCACCTGATCATTTGATGACATTTACATTACAACTTTATAATGTCGACCTCTTTTTAGGCCATTTTTTACAATGCATAATCTTTTTCTTTCAATTCATGCAGTAAAATTTAATGATCAAAAATAATGGTTTCCTACTTACTCATAGAGAAAGTACAATGTGTTAACACTAGGAAAACAAGAATTTTCTTGAAAATAAAAAAAGAAACTAGTAAAGTCTGGAGAAAACGGCAAGAAAAATATAAATGCTGGAGGGCCTGTCATCCTGTTCTTGCTTACATAATGTGTAAAACAATCAAAATGTTCACAAAAAGTTATTTGATGCTTTTTTTAGATTTCAATTGCAAGTTGTTGTATTAATATTGTACGAGGTTATTGTATGAATGGTATAGGAGGAGTTTGTTTGATGTTCTTTCCATTTTTTAACCCTTAACCTGCTGGAACCAAGTGATCAGCCTTTGCCACCAGTATAGAACCAGGCCAGCATACACTTTTGTGCAGTCAGACCAGGCTCTATACTGTTGGTAGCTGAATTTGTGTATTTAGATATTCAAATCCCTGTTAAAGGAACTCCACTGAGGTTCACAAGCCTAAAAACAGATAAATTTGAATTGCTTAAAAATATCAGCTGGAGCACTTAAAACTTAATAGAAAGATATGAAAAGATGATCTAAAAATATACTCAGAAATGAATTAAATATTTTTTTTTTGTGCTATTCTTAGCCCAATTTGAGTGAAAAGCTTTGCAAAGCTGTTCAGTGTTTACTTTTAGGATTTTTCAAAATTAGAATAATTATTCTGGAAAGACGGAGAGGCAATGATTTGAAATTTTGCACACAAGTTATTGGTCTAGACCTACATAAAATGGAGCATTAATCTCGAAAAATCATTTCCAGTCCCATGTCATAAAAACCTCAGTGGAGTCCCTTTAATGAACCATTCCATATTATTCGAAACTGGGCAAGTTCAATTAACATATTTCCGCAGGTTAAGGGTTATTTATATCTCTGATCACTGGATATTTTTTTTCTTTGCTTTCAATCATCATTGTTTTTAATCATTCTAGAACTGTATATGATAAAAAAAATGATTATGTAATATATGTTTCTCTTTTAACCCCTAACCTGCTGAATTTCTAAATACGGACTTGTTCCAGCTTCCATTAATGGAACAGTCCATTTTCAATTTTTCGGGGATGTCAAGATCGAAAAATTTTAGCCGGCGAACAGTCTAGAGCCTTGTGGGATTGCACAGATGTGCAGGCTAGCCTGGCTCTATACTGGTGGCAAAGGTAAATCACTTTAGATTCTAGCAGGGTATGGGTTAATTATTTTTAAGTAAATTCTTTAAACACTAAATTTTGTTTGTTGTTTCTAGTATTGGTGTGATTCACAAATTAAATTGGAGAGATGCAATTCTGCTAATCTGATTTCTGAATCACTGGCGAGAGACCATTAAACTCAATGGCTGAGATCAAATGTCATGAAGAAATATTGCCTCATCCCAGGATTACTGATCTAATGCTCTCCCTATATTGAGCTAAACAAGCTGCTAAACAGAGTTCTTTGTTGAGACCAGTTTTTGTAAATCACCATAAAATAAACAGCATCAAGGACTTCATATTACTTACATGTACCTTTTACTTAAATTATTTAACATTAATTATGATACTGTGCGAGCTTATTTGAACATTTTTCAGGAACTCATCAGTACTGGTGCCTTATGAGGAATAATAGTTGCTTGAATTCCGGTTAGATTTCATATTAAAATTAAAGTACGGGCAATGTATTGTACGGAAAGTGCAAGAAGCTATTTACAACCATGTCACAACACAACTATTTTAAAGCAAAATATGAAAATTAGGAAGAGATTCACTGTATTAACCTGAAAGTCATCTGATATTACTGCAAGTAAAGGACTGAAGGGTAAATAGACACAAGAGTTTATCAAAATGCTACATTTAACCTCTAATCCCCTGAATTTGTGTAATTAATTTGCCATGCCTTGGAATTTGAACAGACCATATTAAAAAGTTAATAGGATTTGAAATTTTCAGTATAAAAAATTCAGACTTTAAGGCAACCAACACTATATAACATGGTAAGACTGTACGTAATGGCGACTTGCCCTGCTCTATACTAGTGGTGAAGGATAATCAGTTTTGATATGGGTTAAATGTTTCTTTATGTAACAACAAACACATTATGAAATTAAACGTTTATTTTTAGACAAAAGGACACCATACAGTAACATTTGCTGTTTTGTAAAGATCTTATCAATTCAGCTGTTAAAAATGAAAGGTAATATCTGATAATTATAAACACAATAACAACATAATCAAAACATTTGTAACAATAAATACAGAATTCACTCTTATCATACTTTAACTATAAGGGAGGTCACTCTGCTGATAAAAAGATCAGAATTAACCCTATTTTAAGCAGAAATTACTTCCCTTCTGCCCTTGTTTGAAGACTGACTAAGCACCAAATATTAATGATCTCTTAATGATTTTAGAAGTTTAACTTAAGTATAATAAATACATAAAAGAATATCTTATCAAATTAAAGTTTGGCAATCGATGAGCAAAAAAAAATCATAAACAAGGGTACAATCTGAGAATTTTTAAAAAAAAATTCTAAATGCAATAATAGAATATTTCCTTTTTTGGTACAAGCATTTTTCAGCTGTTTTTGGAGTATATAAAAAGTGAACACAAAAAAGCTGTTATCATTATAAAACAATGAATCCAAAACAACATTATCATGGCTTTCCATTAATCAACTTGTTACCTTTTTTAAACAAATAGAAATCCAATCCCAACAGATATCAGTTACATTACAATTTAAATCTTTATGTTAAAGAGACATACACAATGAAAACAATGTAAAATCAAAAAATACCATTTTGCCATGCTGAAAATGCTTAACTGATTTGCTTTTTTTAAATTTGGTCATTAAGTGTCATTTCAAATATCAAAGTGTTAAAATAAAGCAGGCAGTGGTAAAGAGATTTTGTCAGACTGTATAAATAACAGGTATAACAAGAATCCCCAGGTAATAGTTTTACATCCTGCTTCTTTACTTTATAAATGACTGTAAAATTTCTTGCTGTAGGGAACAATGACTTGCAACTAACAGGGTTTGAACCCACGAAGCCAGCAACCCTTAAACTACTAGTCCAACATGTTAACCACTCATCTAATCATAAATGGAATTGTTTGCCCGATCAAAAGAACATCTCTAAAATTATGCAACAGTTTTGAATATCAAATAACATTAAAAAAAACCTATGGCCAGCATTATATACATGTATAAGTTTTCAAATACAATGTAAACATAATAACATTAGATGTAAGATTCTTTTCTGGTAAGTTTTATAAAGCCAGAAAATGCCAAAAAGTGGCAAAATCACCATTTGACAGGCCATTTTCAAATTAAACATACATGTACATTATAGAACAAAAAGAGGTAATTGTTTCATTAGATTTCAAGCAGCTTCGTGTAATAGATCATTTTATAAAACAAACATCTAGATCTATTTTCTGCATTCCACACCTCATTTTGATTGGGTTGTGATGTTAAAAAATGTGCACTGATGTCATATTCATACATCTTTTCTAACCTTTGTTGTGGTTTTTTTCACCTTAGATTTTCTATGCTCAATTTACAGAAGGTATATAATAGAAGGAAAATAACACGAGTGTGCTTTCAGGACTTTTTTCCTTCTATAAAAGGGGCTGTTTTTAATGGCGGCTTCCCCAAAGAAAACTTGTTTAAAATCATGCAGTTTTCCCCAAAAATTGAATTTAAATCAAGTTTTTTTCTTCCCTATTTGCAAATATACTGTATAATTTTCCAAAAAAAATTAAGGGCAGGATGCTTCCCCAACCTGCGGAAAAAAAAGTCTGTGCTTTTCTGATGGCTTGAATCGGTCTTGACAGCTGTGTTAAGTTGTATTTAAAACTCTCCCTGTGGACATGTATGAATATAACTTATAAGAACAGCAAACTCGTGAAATATTTCTCCATTTATCATTACAATTTTTGTCATTCCATATCAACTTAATAAAACTTGAGTCAAAGACAATTCCACAAATAATACAATACATTGTTGTCTCCCCTTTTCATAAAATAGTTCTCAGAACATGCTTTGGTATACATATAATCATTTGCAACAAAACTAACATTTATAAAATATCAGTCCAAAAAAATAAAATAAAAATTAACATGCATGAATGTAAATGAAACAAATACTACAAAAATTAATACAACATGTAAAACTGATTTGGAGTTTTTCTTATAATCAGACCGGTGATTGTAGAATAATAAAATAAATAAAAATCTAATGTGTCAGTCTAGTGTAATAAGTCTTTAAACCACTCATAAGAAATATTATCATCATAAACATGTATGTTTGTGTCTCAAATGTGGATTTTTTGAAAAAAAAAAAAAAAACTGACATTTTTAAACCTAGAGACCCGGTTTTATGGGAGGGATACTACTTATTGAGAACACATATATCAAATAACATTGAGATCCCTCTATGCATGTAGTAAATATGAGCCGTGTCATGACAAAACCAACATAATGGGTTTGCGACCAGCATGGATCCAGACCAGCCTGCGCATCCGCAGTTTCTCTACTTGTAATAGGGTTTGTAAGCGAACAGCATGGATCCTGATCAGACTACGCGGATGCGCAGTCTACAATCTGAGATATTTTTTTTTTTTGTCTATTGAAAACAACTGAATGGTTGATAAATGAATAGTGAAATAAAATCCCCTTCCTTTTCTTCAATCTAAGAGGAAGAATCTCTTACAAAACTGTAAGTAAAGTGGATACAGTTAGAGGAGGGTATGGGTAGCTGTGTTCTGTAAATATTGCTGTCCAATATTGATTTTTACTCTCATATTTTATATAAAGAACTATCTTAGGAATTTTTAAAACAGAGGATCTTCGATCATCATAAAAGCCAATTGGACGCATCTATCTATTAACAAATTTAAGACTTGCAGACTTATTACACAAGATTGACACAAACTAGACAAATTGTAGATTTCTATTGAAGAACTTTGTAGATTCTGAAAGTCTTGTTAGTGAACACATGTTTGAAATATTTTGAGTAATTTGGTGTTTGCCGCCGAACCTCGTCACAAAATCTCGGCACATGACTCTTGATGAGACCAGGCTCAACTTTACCACTGTCTGGTATCTGTGAAATAAAATATATATGAATTATATGTCTGTTACTATTTATAAACAAACAAGCCACATGAACATACTGTTATTGAATGTTAACAGCAGATGCATCCTTGTTCAGTGCATAACACTTTTTATGTAATTAATTATAGAGTGTAAATCTATGTCTAATGAAATATTTTTATAAAATTTATCAACAATAAAATTACATTGTTAAATAAAGTTCTCAAGAGATTTGTAACATAAAATATCTCTGTAATTAAACACACATGGATAGTGTATATAAACAGAATAAAATGTTCTGAAAAAATATATTTTGCTGCTATTTTAAGTAGGGCTTCCATCATTTAGAAACGATTTCATGCATGCATTTTATGCTTTTAAGGCAATATACTATCATATTTCTTTAATACAAGCCATTTAAAGGTATTATTTATAGCAGGCAGGCACACTTCAAGTCCATGAAATCTGGCCAGGCTCTATACTGCTGACTGACCAAGTTCATATATTTCATCCAGATATCCCGAAAAATGATAATTGAAAGTACCAAAAATTGTTGTTGGAGGAGTCCATTTATAAAATTTAGAAGAATAATGTTTAACCATACAAGACAAGTTATTATTTCATGCTTTCCAGTGTTTTATTGGAATATCTCAGATGATTATATTCTGATCAACCACTAGTGAAATTTATAAAATATAATTTTCACTGTAGCCGGACTATATCTAAATGAGGATGAAAAGAAAATCATAACTAAATGGAATAACAGACAGAAATAAATGCTGTCATGCGTAAATTTTGCTTCTTTAGGAAAAGAAAGTCGATGTCACCATACATCATATTAAAAATGTAACAAAATGAGAGAAATTTAACAGAACTATTTTTCAAGCTTGATAATGTGACGTCATGATGTGATGACGTCACAAAGGAGAATGCGCGACGTTACGCGGCAAAATCAGTAAACAAGAGCTGTCACAGGAGACAGCGAAGCTCGACTAATAAAATACTGGACGCAGTAAGGAGGAAAAACTATGAAAGAAAAATCAATTATGTATAATTATGTATTAAGTTATAGTAAAAAAAAAATATTTGTTAACATAAATTCCAAGATCAAGGAGAATAATTCTAGAAAAAGTCATGCTAGAGTTATGGACCTTGTCACACAACATTTGTGTAATGATAAGAAATATATATTTGAAGTTTGAAGTAGATACCTTAAAAAGTAAAGAAGTTATTATATTTCTTAAAGAAAATCCTAGGTTCAAAGAGAGATAAATGTGTAAATATTGCTTCAAGAGTTATGAACATTGTCACATGAAATGTAATTGATGATAAGGAATAAGTATTTGAAGTTTGAGGTAGATACCTTTAAAAATAAAAAAGTTATAATAAAAAATAACTTTTTTCTAGTAAAAAAATCTAAGTTTATGGGGAGATAATTCTTGCAATATTGGTGCTAGAGTTATGAACCTTGTCACATAAGATGTGGATGATGAATAAAATATATTTGAAGTATGAAGTTGATACCTTTAGAAATAAATAAGTGACAGTAAAAAATAATATTTTTTATGGAAAATTCTAAGTTCAAAGGGAGATAAATCTGAAAATATTGGTGCTAGAAATATGAACCTTGTCACATAAGATGGGGATGATGATAACGTAAATATATTTGAAGTCTGAGGTTGATCCCTTAAGAAATAAAGAAGAAACAGTAAGAAATAGAACTTTTTGAAGAAAATTCTAAGTTCAAAGGGAGATAAATCTGAAAATATTGGTGCTAGAAATATGAACCTTGTCACATTAGATGGGGATGATGATAACATAAATATATTTGAAGTCTGAGGTTGATCCCTTAAGAAATAAAGAAGAAACAGTAAGAAATAGTATTTTTTAAGGAAAATTCTAAGTTCAAGGGGAGATAAATCTGAAAATATTGGTGCTAGAGTTATGAACCTTGTCACATAAGATGTGGTTGATGATAAGGAACATATATTTGAAGTTTGAAGTTGATACCTTAAGAAATGACAAAGTTATAGTGAAAAATATTTTACTGCACCAAAACTTTAATCTAAAATCTGGACGCGGACGCCGACGCCGGGGCGAGTAGGACAGCTCTCCATATACTTCGTATAGTCGAGCTAAAAATACTTAAAATCACTTAAAAAGCATGAAATAAAAAGAAAATTTATTTGTTTTACATATAAGATTGAAATATATTTCATTCGTGAACACCAGCTATTATATTTTCACTCGTGGCTACGCCACTCGTGAAAATATTGCATCTGGTGTTCACTCAGTGAAATTATATTTCAATCTTACATGCAAAACAAACAAATATCCTCTATACCATATATACATGTATTCTGGTGTTATCTGATATAGCAGACAATTTATTAGACATGTCACCGCAGTTTTCTATCATCTTAAACACAGTTACAGCACCAAAATCCTTATCACCTCCTACTGAAAGTCTCATTACAACCTACTCAACACCTCTTCAAACATCTTTGTAAGACATATAAATGTCACTTAGTACAGCTGTCTCAAATTTGATTACTGCATTAGACATATTCTGCTATTTTGCATGTGGAATTCTACCATAACAAGGTGAAGTTTTTGTCTCTGCGTAATTCAGATAAGAAAAAGGTTTGTAAAGAAAATGATGAAGGTGTATTTGGACAACTCTGAAACTTATATAAAAAATTATTTACCATTTATAGGCTAATATTGTGTTCTCAAAAGTTAAATTCCAAGGAACTAGGCTTATATTGTCTTTTTACAATGATATATTACTTACAACACCATTGTCTACATCCAATAAATCTGGCAGACGACAACCTCCCCTAGATGGCGCCAGGCATATACTGTCTTCTAGAATAATGTAGTCTGTTTTATATTTCACCATTAAGCTATGAACATCTTCTGGCTCTCTTTTGGCATAATACTGGTATAACTGTAAAATATAATAGGTTAATTATCCTATTAAGTACATAAAAGGTCTTATTGTTTTAAATAAGAAGAGGACCATGATGGGCCTAGATTGCTCACCTGAGAATTACTGCTAGACAAGGTCAATGTACTAGTCAATTGTAACCGCAACCCCACCCCCTCAACCCTATGGGGCTTTGCAGGGAAAAGCAGGAGAAAAGAGTCAATTTTTTTACATTATTCTGTCACTGCATTGCCAAATTAATAGGACGACTTTCTTTCAGAGCCAAAATAACAGCAAATATCAAACTTACACAATAGGGGCATTTAGCTTTCACCATCGGACTGTCCCCAAAGGATGGCGCCTTACAAATGGTTTGATAATCCAAATCACCCCACAAAGTATGGGGTTGGGAAATCACAGGGATGGGAGAGCTGGAGCTTCAAATGACATGTATATAACTTACTTCTTTGGTCTTAATTCTCAGCTGTTTATCCTCGTAATGTGGATGATTTGTTATCGGTCTCCCAGTACATAACTTTACACCAGCCATCAGTTGCATACTGCCAGACAATGCTGCCATTGGAGCAGTATTATCTCTGTAAATAGAGAAGACAACAAGTTGGTGGTATTGTAAACAACAGGACAATACTTTTCCAGTATCCCATTTTGACAGGTAAATTTTCTATAAAATTTGCGCCGCGCCATGACAAAACCAACATAGTGCGTTTGCAACCAGCATGGATCCAGACCAGTCCGCGCAGTCTGATCAGGATCCATGCTGTTTGCTTACCAACTATATTACGAGTAAAGCAACTGATAGCGGACAGCATGGATCCTGATCAGACTGCCCGGATGCGCAGGCTGGTCTGGATCCATGATAGTCGCAAACCCATTATGTTGGTTTTGTCGTAACACGGCTCATATGTGTGTGTGATGTTTCAACCCGTTATCTTCAGTAGTTTTGGTGATACCAACTTGTATGCATAAACTTAACCAAAATTTGATGCCAAAACAGGTTTGAATAGTAGAGATGATATGATGTTATTTTTTTACTTACTTGATCCATTCCATAAGTTCTACAGTGTCTGGGTCCCAAAATTCTTTTAAATCCTCTAGTTCTTTTAACGCTGGTGGCAAGGCCTGAAATATATAAATTAGAATGTAAACTGGCTTTCCTAGCCGTTGACTTTGTTGAATTTCATAAATGGACTTGTCCACCTTCCCGTTTTAGAACTGTCCTGTCCAGTCATCAATTTTGGGGATGTCCAGCATGAAGGTCCGCAACAAGTATAGAGACTGCATGGATATATTACTGGTACCCCAGCCTGGCTCTATACTAGTGGCAAGTGCTAATCACATTTTGTTAAAGGTTAAACAGCACTAAATCAATATTATTGTAATATGAGCTTTTGTCAAAATAATTAGCCAAATTAATTTCTTAGTAAACATACATGTATTTAGGAGTCAAATATTTACGCAATGTTGTACAATCACTAAATGAACAAAAAAAGTTTCTATATACATGTAATAGGAATTTATGACATACATGTTGTACATGAAATAAGATAGAAAATGCAACAAAAAATGAGCCGCGTCATGACAAAACCAACATAATGGGTTTGCGACCAGCATCCACACAGTCTGATCAGGATCCATGGTGTTCGCTTACAAACCCTATTACAAGTAGAGAAACTGATAGCAAATAGCATGGATCCTGATCTGACTGCGCGGTAGCGCAGGCTGGTCTGGATCCATGCTGGTCGCAAACGCATTATGTTGGTTTTGTTGTGATGCGGCTCATTACATAGTGAATAACTTACAATAGCTAAAAGTAGGGCAAGAATGGCTATAGATGTTAAATGGCGAGCTATCTGAACCACCACTTCCTGGTTACTCCTCAATTTGGCAAGAACGCACCTCCAACCCCTGTAGTCAGCTATCCCAAACCCTGCCAAGATACACATATATGGTGTCCACAGGTATTTCATACGTAACGTCGACATGGCAAGAGCTCCAAAGAACACAGCTTGAACTGAAATAACAAAAAATAATAACACAAGTTAAAAAGTGACCATTTCATACGATTTTTTTTCCCTGTCATACTATTAGGTCAGAAAATATTAATTTTGTTACTGAACTTAAATAATACAAAAATAATGATGGTAGTTAACACTGAGGTTTTTGACATGATGGGACTGGAAATAATTTTTTAAGATAAATGTTTTATTCAATGTAGGTCTAGACTAATAACTTGTGTGCAAAATTTTAGATCATTCACACACCACGTTTTTTTCCCAGAATAATTATTATAATTGTGAAAAATGACCAAAAATGAAAAAGCATTGCAACAGTTTTTACTCAAATCAGACAGAAAATAGCACAAAAATATGATTTTCAATTTATTTCAGAGTATATTTCTAAATCATATTTTGCGTATATTTCTGTTTTAATTGCTCCAGCTGATCTATGTAAAACAATACAAAATTTATGCTTTTAAATTTTTGAAGCTCAGTGGAGTTCCTTTAATAATGAAATTATTTTTTTATATAACGATCTTGGTCTGCACTGGTCACATGGGTAGTAGCTGTTGCCGCAACCAGACTAACCATTTAAGTACATGTATTGTAGATTTCATGGTTAAGTCATTCTACATCATTTCCATGAAATGACATTCACATGAAATAGAAATTTGTCATCTAATATCTTGATATTTTAATAATTGACAGAAAACATTATATTGATGGATTATGTAAATGCAATGTAACTGAGAACATGAATTTCATTGTCCCTGACATTTATGACATTCCATGAATGTCATAGTAATTGTATAATAGGAACTAAATAATATCTTCTAGATATCAGAGAGAAAACAAAGAAAAGAAAAAAAATTGTTCAAAAAATTGTTTAAAAAATACATCAAGATGCTAAATGACATTGGTGGCACAGCCGAGTGGTTAACACGTCAGACTAGAAATCTAATGATTGCTAGCCACAATGGTTCAAATCCTGTCAGGGGCAAGTCTTTTTCCTTTGATCTCATTACTCAGTACTGGTTGGTTCCAGAAACAGATTTAAAAGTGTGTCTATAAAATTATAGCTTCCTACACAAACTGAAATAAATTCTGTAAAAACCAATTGGCATACTAATATTATACAGTGTATGTTCCATAAGGGTGTTTTTTACAATTGAAAATATGCTTTTAATCATTGGTAATGAAGTTGTATTATTTGATTTGTATTTATACTTCTACGGTTAATTATAGGAGATTCAAGGAATTTCAAGACATGATTTTAAAATTCAATGATTACTATGGAATTTCCATCAAATATCAATGATACAACTTCCAATTTTTGAATTTCCTTGATATTTCCATCATAAAAAGGTTTCCATGGTATTTTCCGTTTTGTGTGAACCATGTATACAGTATACACTGTAGTTGTTAAAATATTGCAAAATAAAACACTGTTATAACAAGTCGATATTAAAAACAGGAGTGGCCTTTGCAAAGGTTTAACAGTATTTAAAGAAGAGATGGTTTGGCAGTATTTAAACCAGAGCTGGCCACCTGTACAGGATTGACAATATTCAAATAAGAGCTGGCCTCCTACTAAGGTTTGACAATATTTAAACAAGAGCTAGCCCTCTGCAAAGGTTTGGCAATATTTAAAACAGAGCTAACCCCCTGCTAAGGTTAAACAGTATTAAAATAGAGCTGGCCTATGGTACAGGTTTGACAATATCTAAACCACAGCTCACCTTCTGGACAGGTTTGATGGTATCAACAATCAAATCAACTTACCAACATGGAAAGCAAGATCTGGCCTGGCTGACAGAAGATGAGAATGTTTAGCTGGATGATCCTTTAATCCTTCCTCGTAACTATGGTTACTTAAATGTAAAATATACTTTCTTTATCATTTGAAGCTGTTATGACAAATACAGTGAACCAGTATCTATGGAGCAGAATTTGGGTATTTATTCATTTGACTACTTGTTGTTTTCATTTGCTTAAGTTTAAATCATATTCCTACAAATTTGATTCATCTGCGAGTTAATCAAAGTTCTTTACTTAAATATTTATTTATTCTTTCTTATTATGTTTATAGTAAGTTGTAATATTCTAAAGCCAACGCCAGTACTTCATCTTAATTCGTTAAATTTAATATTAGATACCAATAAATTACTTTTTGTTTTAAACATGTGCTATTTCTACTTATTTAAAAGAAAGTGTGTTTCCTCGAACTTGTTTCTTACAAATGTATTTGTGCAACTCTTATTCTCATTCGATTCACACTGAAAACAAATTTGTATGTAGAGGCTATAAGAATTGTTGTTATAGAGATTTATCCATATTCTAACTTTATGAAATTATTAACATTAAGCAACCTTAAGCGAAATAAAACTGACTCATTTCAATAAGAAGAACAGCAGAATAAACAAGCAATTATCATAGTATTGCAAGCAATCCATAAGTCCCCTACCGGTAAGAGCCCAAGCAACATTCTGAAGGGCCATTCACTTAGGTTCCTATTTTAAGTAAATTTGTTGAAAAAGTCCTTTAAAAGTGATCACAGGAAACAGTTTTTATGTACAGACAGACGGACTGAAGGACACTCTAAAGTTATTCTTTAAACATCCCTGTTATCAAAATATAACATTTTTAAAATCCTATCATGATTGAAGAAGTTGAAGTAAAAATTACCAATTTCTCAAAACAAAGTCTAAGTTCAAAAGGGGCATAATTCTGGAAATAGTCTTGCTAGAGTATTGAACACTTACAAATGTTGAGTGACAATAAGAAACATTTATATGAAGTTTGAAGTAGATACATTCAGAAAAAGAAGTTATTAAAAAAACAATGTTTTTTTCATGAAAATTTTAAGTTCAAGGGAGGTAATTCTGATAAATTTTGTACTAGAGTTGTAAGCCTTGTCACATATGATGTGGTTGATGACAAGCAACTTATATTTAAAGTTTGAAGAAAATACCTTAAGAAATAAAGAACTTATAGTGAAAAAACTTAAAAACAAGAATAAGAAATCTTGAAATTCAGTCTATTTGTTGCCATAGCAACCAGAATTTTCAACATAGGAAGATAAGAAAAAGATGTGCATAATTTCCATACTGCCATCTACCCATATGTCAAGTTTCATAAACATATTTTCAGTACTTTTTGTGTTATCACTGGATCCAGGTTATGTGTAAAATTTGCCATATTTTCAGTCTATTTGTTGCCATAGCAACCAGAATTTTCAACATAGGAAGAAAAGAAAAAGACACAGAATTTTCAACATAGGAAGAAAAGAAAAAGACGTGCATAATCTCCATACTGCCATCTATCCATATATCAAGTTTCATAAAAATATTTTCAGTACTTTTTGCGTTATTGCGGGATCCAGTTTATGTGTAAAATTTGTCATATTTTCTGTCTATTTGTTGCCATAGCAACCAGAATTTTCAACATAGGAAGAAAAGAAAAAGACGTGCATAATCTCCATACTGCCATCTATCCATATATCAAGTTTCACTAAAATATTTTCAGTACTTTTTGCGTTATTGTGGGATCCAGTTTTGTGGACGGACGGACTGACGGACGGACGGACGGACGGACGGAAGGACGGACGGACAGACAGACGGACAGACGGACGGAGGGTAAACCTTAAGTCCCCTCCGGTAAACCGGTAGGGGACTAATAAAAACTAGAAACCACGTGATTAATATTTGCTTTTTGTGTCCTAGCTGGTACCAGACCTAAAATTCTAGCGCAAAATCTTAGTGACGGGAGATAACTCATATATCGCTTCGGTATTTTCCGTGAGCACAAGGTGTGAGGATACAATGCTACACGGCGATTTAATCCAAGTTTATAGGTAGCACACCCCAGTAATGTAAGCCACAGCTTCGAATGGCCAGGGCTTCTTGGATATAGTATTTAACCTTTTACCCTATGAGTATATATTGTGAAAAATGGCCGTTTTCATTGAAAAGCCTCCTGTTACAAGTTCAAACTTCTATGAAAACTATGAAAAATGCTTCAATACTGATACAACTTGGCACAAATGTTGACTGGACCATAGCCTCTGTAACAGCATGCTCAATCGTAAATTTTCTGTTACCATGACAACGGGGGGGACGTCTTAAAATTGCATTGTTTTTTTCCATCAAAACTGATTTCAAAGTGCTGCAACTTCTCAATAAATTAAGATAGCGTAAAAGGCTTTTCAGCGACGGTTACTAGTTACCCTGAGATCGACCTGAGGCCATTTTTAGCCTGTCACATGTCCAAAATTTTCTTGGCGATGAGGGGGACTACTACCGCCCCCTTCAAACCCCCTAAACAGTAGGGGGCACATCCCCCTTCTGTCAACCCCCTGATGTACTATTTTGATGGGGGGGCCGCGCCGAAAAGTGGTCACTTTTTTTTAACAACATTTCTCAAATGAAAAACAGTGTTTTTCACTATTTGAGGCATCAAAAGGGGGGGGGGCCAAAAGCTGTATAAGGGAAAAGGTTAAATGACTGGTTGTCTTTAAAGTGCATTTTCAGCATGAAATTTGTTTTTGTGACATCTAATATGATTGATCACTGGCAAATTCGAAAACATAGCCAGAAAACACATGCTGTTGATTATAGATATGTCAAGGCCGCCATTTTTTGCTTTTAAACAGCATGCACAGTAAAAACAAGTCATTTTACAGGGGGGGGGGGGAACTTTTAGCAGTAGCAAAAAATCTACACGGTTGAGCATCAGTTTCTTTGTGATATTTTGCATGTATAGGGAGTTGATAAAGCAGAGAGATGGTGTTCCTTTAGCCTGTATATTTGCAGGTATTTTTTGACAGAGGTACGAAAAGTGTTGTTTTGGGTCTTGGGCCACTGTAGATTTTGGGCTTCAACGGAATGAATTGCAACTTTTTTGACTGCCAGTGCCTGCCTATTGCAGATGGGATGATTTCTTTGTAGATTTGCAATCTTATGTCATATTTGTTCTCAACAAAATGTGTTTTCTTTTTCCAGGTTGTGTAGTTTGGTATCAGAATTATTAGACGTATTGCTTGTAGGACATGGACGGCAGGAACTTGAAATTAACTGTGGAGTGCTACCCTGGATTTCGTGGATTTATTTTTTGGAGAGAATATTTCAATGGTTACACCGTCAGAAATTACGACTTGTACGGAAATGTTGGTTCCCGGCCAGATGTATAAATTTTAATTTCAAATGTAATTTCGTATTTGTGTTATTGCAGTCCGTATTCGTCTAGGTGCATTTGTATAGATTTTATTTCAGTGTTATGTAACCTGCTTTGTATTCTTAAAAGAAAGGACGTTCAAGATCATAAGTTAAAACTAAATTATTCAAATTGAAAAGGAAGAAGTATGCAACATAATCACGTACATGTAGTTTAAACAAGAAGCAGAAACAATTGATCCTTACATTCTGCAGTATCAAAATACAAATGTTTAACTGTCGATTAAAAAGTAGCAATTAATTGTTTAAATCAATTTAAATTTATATGATTATAGATAAGAATTTAATGAATACGAATATAAATTAGATAAATAGAAATTGAAAGATAAACAGCGAATAAATACCCAAATTCTGCTCCATAAGTATCACTAGAATATAAATGGGCAAACTGTCACATTATTATTATTCAAATTTTACAGTTATAATCTTTCTTATTAATTAAGAACAAGTATTAACCCTTACCCTGCAGGGATCCAAAGTGGTTAGCCTATGCCACCAGAATAGACCCAGGCCTTAGCCTGATCAGGCTCTATATTGCTGGTAACTCAACTTTTATATTTTGACCCTGAGATCACTTAAATTACAAATGGACTTGTCCAAATTCAAAGAAGGGAACATTCCATTACACAAATTCAGTAGTGAATAGATCAAAATTTTAGTGGATTACAATAAGAATTTCACCACAACATATCTGTTGACAAAAGAAAACATAATATATCTGTTGTCAAAAGAAAACATATCAATGTTTTCGGTTAAATTAATTGTTATTCAATATAATGTTCAGAGCAGGTAGTCATAATAATTATTCATCCCTTTACTTTCTGAATTTCTGAAAATCATTTTTTTTTAACTGTCCATCATTACTTCTGGGAATATGAAAATTTAATGGCCCATTATGCTTCTGAAATGCTATCATCATTTTTTCTCAAAAACTGTTTCTTTTTGGTTATCTTGTTACAGTTTCCAAAAACATACTCCTTTACTATATAAATGAACTATCTTTTGCATCTTTAGCTCTGCTGGCAATTAGTATTATTATGGTGAATTAGTATTTGTATGGAAGTCAAAATTCTACTTAAGCCGCGTCATGACAAAACCAACATAATGGGTTTGCGACCAGCATGGATCCAGACCAGCCTGCGCATCCGTGCAGTCTGATCAGGATCCATGCTGTTCGCTATCAGTTTCTTCACTTGTTTTACAGTTTGTAAGCGAACAGCATGGATCCTGATCAGACTACGCGGATGCACAGTCTGGTCTGGATCCATGCTGGTCGCAAACGCATTATGTTGGTTTTATCATGACGCGGCTCACTTATTGTAAAGCCTGATCAGAATACATTGATGTCTTGCCAGTCTCACTATTGGTGGCAAAACTAATCACTTTTGGCTCTCGCAGAAAAAAGACAAAATAAATCCCATCAAACACACACATCTAGATTATTCTATACAAGCATTTTGAGCTGCACTTGTATGAATACACTTAGCAATAAAAAAAATGACATGGCAAGTGACAGAAAGTTAATTTACTGCATTATAACTCAGTACAAGTAACAATGTTGTAGACTTAAGCTGAAAAATTTACGTCTTCAACATGGACAATATTTCCCAGATTGTCAGGAAATAATTAATCAAAATATCAGCCAAGGAAGCTTTCCTGCTGGGTCATCTGGTGTATGTCACTTCAGTAATTTTGACAAAAGTTCACAAAATTGACTTGATGTAACATTTGAATATAACAAGTACTTTAGATTTGAGTTATTATGAAACTTTTAAGATACACTAGTGAAGGAATTAAGCTGGTTTCAGTCATACCAGTACTATAAAGGTAGTAGCCGAACAATGTGCTAGTTGTGAATGTGTCTTCCTCTCAACTCAGGGATCATGGTTATGAGCCCAAATTGGGTCACGACCATGTTTCTTTATATGACACAAGGGAGCAGTCTCGAAAGTGATTAATATAAGTTGCAAAGACTTGTTTTAGCGATCGAGCTTAACTAAGCATGTTTTAACCGAAACAAAAGGTCATATGGTGACTTTCCAGCTTGACTGGGCGCTTCTTGGGCACCAGAATAGAACCACCATCCTTTCATAAGCTAGCTAGAAGGTTATCCTCACATAAAAGAATCTTAGTGAGACTCAAACCAACAGCTGCTTGGGCCAACTGAGTTTAAGTCAGAAAATTAAACCACTGTAGGAGGAAGACCACAGGTACTAATGCATCCTTTAAGCACTATTTCAAAACTCAAACTGAGTTCCTAAGCAGATTCGTCTTGAAGAAAAAGACCCTCAAAATTCCTTTGCTGAGTTATTAAAGCTGCTGCAAAAGGGATATTTTCAAAATCTGACCATAAAAACTGTATGAAAATAGTTATTAGTGAAAATTCTCTAAAATCAAGTTTGTATGTAATACAATGTAAATCATGAAGTCATAAATTTACCTCCAATTCTGCATAACAGCTATAAATAGAACAATGAGTATTGTTAGATGTGTGATGAGATATATGGGGAACACGAGTAGTTTTGACATTCTTTCATACGTATCCAGTTGTAGAAAACCGAACGCTTCAATACACAGGTACAACCTTGAGTCGAAATCCCTGTAATAGATGACATAAACTTTTGTCATGTTTTGAATGCAAGTTTCAATTATTTAATTATTTGAGCTGCGTCATGACAAAACCAACGTGATGCCTTTGCGACCAGCATGGATCCAGACCAGCCTGCGCATCCGCGCAGTCTGATCAGGATCCATGCTGTTCGCTTACCAACCCTATTACAAGTAGAGAAACTGATAGCGAACAGCATGGATCCTGATCAGACTGCGCGGATGCGCAGGCTGGTCTGGATCCATGCTGGTTGCAAACGCATTATGTTGGTTTTGTCATGACGCGGCTCATTTATCATTTATTCAATTTATTAACAAAAACATTCAAAAACACACTAGAGCAAAAGAATTATGTAGACACATAATGAAAATAAGTCAAGTTATACAAACATTGCAAATGTCAAACATTGACATTCAAGTTATAATGGTGGAAGTGGAGATCTCAAATGTTACCTCACTTTGAATCATTAAAAACATGAATGGGCACCTGCATAGAACCACCAACTTTCCGTAAGCCAAATGTATAGATAGCTTCTTAATAGGAAATAACAATTTAAAGTCTCTGGTTGGATTTGAAGCCACAGAAGTGAGTGGCAAGTTATTTGAGATCAGCAACAACTGTCAGAGTTTGTGTGTGGTTTTTTTCCCCTATATAAATTGTTCATAAATTGACAGTTTCCCTGTCATGAAATACCTTTTATCTGTCAAAAGATATAATTAGGACCTTATATAGAGGGAGACTGTTATCCAGTTAGTATAATTGTGCTATATTCTATTTCAATTGATGAAGAAATAAAATATTTACATCAGTTTTCACCTCTGAATCAAGACACTGTATGTTGCTTGTAATACCTTAAAATCATATCTAGTTCCCCTGCTGGGGGATACAGCATGTATGAATGGATTTTCTTACATATCACACTGGCGTTTCCATTTACCCATGACAGAAATTTCATCTGGCATAAATGAGTTGCGTGTTGTACAATGGCGCGGACAGGATGAGGTAATTTTACCATTATAAATGAAGTTGCAATTTCAATATGGTAGACTATGCAAGAAAAAAAAATCTGACATATGATTGCAGTCCGAATCGGAAAGCCTTGTTACAACCCACTAGGCAGGTCCTCTCGGGACGGATATTCCGATCCAAACCACAATACATGACAGATATTATTAATCTGGTATGGTCATACCGAATTTTGTAACATACTTTTGATTATGTCAACTTATCATTACAAATATAATATTAACTTTGACAGTAAAAGATGATGTAAAACCTTACCTTGGATTCCCTATTCCAAATTTGTTCAGCAAAAATTTGAATATGTGCTCATCAGCTTCTAGATCTAAAACAGTCTGAAAATAACAAAATTGGAGTCATTTAACCCTTAACACCATAAATATCTTAAATGGAATTGTCCATCTTTTAATCAAGACAAAACTACTTATCGATTTTAGGGAACTTTTTTTATACAATTATATATTATGTAGTGTAAAAGCAGCAAACAGTGCAGACCATGATCAGAGGGCACAGATGTGCCAGCTAATTTTGATCTGGACTGGACACATGAGTAAAATATGTAGCAACTAGCTGGATTAGGAGTTATATTACATACTTATTGAATGTATAGTATTAAAACAATGGATAATCAGTAGGAAAAACAAATGTGATATAACATATGTTACCTTGGCAGCCAGATTAAAGATAATCATGAGCACTAGAACAGCGATACTGTAGAACGCCACTTTAAATATTCTACTTGGTATCGTACATGGTGTTAATGTATCTCCCTGAAATAAAACATCAATAACAGTAATGAATAACTGCTAATGTTTCTTTCCTTTAATTTATATTATCTTTGCTTTAATTTATAATATTTTGCTTTAATCTATATTATCTTTGCTTCAATAATCATTATCTTTGCTTTAATTTATATTATCTTTGCTTTAATATATATATTATCTTTGCTTAAATATATATTATCTTTGCTTTAATATGTATTATCTTTGCTTTAATTTATATTAACCCAAGGTCGATCATAAACCTTTTTTGGGACACTGTGTGTACATGCCACTTTGGTTCTATGCATTTTCCATATAACATTGGCCAGAAGATTTTGGTGACAAATTAAACATTAAAAATTAAACAACAGTTTACAAATTCGACCAGATAATCTGCACACGTAACATATTCTCCCTAGGAACCTCGGATATACAAAATTATCTCACCTTGAAGTACATAAGCAGAAATGTTGCTGGAATAAAACTCATCACTAGGGAACCAAGGATCATTTTGTTGATACTCTGTGATACACAGACAAGTAATAGTGACAATGCCTGTGACAGTAACACCACACGAACCTGGAATTAAATATAACTTTTTGTTAATATAAAACATAGAGAAATTTGTGAAAGATTACCTGAATTTCAAAAGCCATCTCAAAAGAACACATTTGATTAGGCAATTGATACCTTAAATCTGAAAATTAACAATTGGCAGAATTGTTTTTAAATAATGGTTTCAAACTGTCAGTTTTATAATAATTATAATGAATTTGTTATGTAATAAAGTGATTTTTACTTCTATTTATAAGAAAACACTGAGCTGTGCTCAAGACGTCACTTTCAACTATTCAAAGTACTTGTTTAATAGTGCAAGAAGAACTTGTTACTACTTAAAAACTTGGGCACCAGAACCAAGTTATGTACTCATGCCTAATCATGGATTTAAATGGTCATAAATAAGTAATTTTACATATTAAAGGAATATCACAAAGGGAAGAGTGAAAAAGTATAGTGCTTCAATTTTTTTTTTTTATCTTAAAATGTGACACTTATAAAGCAGACGCCAACACTTCAGTATATACATGTAGGATAGTTCATCCCATTTTACAAACATAGTAGTCGAGCTAAAACTATATAAATAACAAACATTTGCCACAGTTAAGTATTTAACTTTATATGTTTCAAGTTTATTATTCTTCAGCATGTACCTTATAACTATTTAAATAACAAACATTTGCCACAGTTAAGTATTTAACTTTATGTGTTTGCAAGTTTTATCATTTTTCAGCATGTACCTTAAAACTAGTTAAATTACAAACATTAGCCACAGTTTAATATTCAACTTTATGTGTTTGCAAGTTTATCATACTTAAGCCTATACCTAATGTGGTGGCACTATATAAATATTTACCTTATGTGCTGGCACCATATCTAGAATCCAGACACCAAACAAAGCCAGTGCTTGTAACAACAATATAAACTGGTTAAACTGCCAGAATAGACTGAACAAAAATGTGCTTGCCATTATCAGTCCAATGGTAAATTTCTGAAATAGAAAAAAGTAAAAAAACATGCCATCAGTATAATTTTTATTGAAACCAAAAATGAACAGCCTTTGTTATCAGAAGAAAGCTTAAGGCCTGGAAGACAAATAATGCTAAAGCCTATGTTAAGGGGCTTTGACAGATGCTGCATTTTCCATTACAAATCTAGCCCTTACCACACTTGATATCTTAAATTGACTTGTCTTTCAATCTGGACAAAACCATTCATTATTTTTTAGGTGAAATCAAAAAATATATACAAACTTAATAGCGAACAGTTCAGACAACGATCAGACAGAACGAATAAACAGGCTGATCTTCGTCTGTATTGGTCCTACGGGTTCCATCAATTGCTGTCAGCAGACTACAGTCTAATCAAAATGAGTCTGTCATGTCACATATTAATTTTGTTTTCACTACTCTCAAAGGATCTCCCTTTTTAACAGACTTTTGAAACTGATTGTTTAAAGTTTCATTTTGCTCCACAGTCAATCGTATGTTTTTTGTTGTTGTTGTTTTTTTTGGTTGGGTTTTAAAGGTTGCACCAATCCAGTATAGTATATGGCAACTTTCCTGCTTTACTGATGAAGGGAGACCTCAGGTACCCCTCTGTACATTGTTTCAGGCACAAACGGACACTTTAATAGAACCACCGATGTTTTGTAAGCTAATTGGATAGCTTAATCACATGTAGAATCTGAAGATGCTGGCACAACTCTATTCTGCAGTGGTGAGAGGCAAGTGGTTTGAAGTCAACAACCTTAACCACTCAGCAACGGAGAGCCCATCAATCATATGCAAATGTATCTAAAACAATTAACAATGATGTACTTAAGCAACATATTTTAATAAACTTTTCAAGATTTCTTTAAAAAAACAGAGAAAGCAAATATGATGTCAAAGTCTTTCCTTTTTTTACAAGCCCTGAGCACAAAAGCTCATATGGAATTTTATTAATTTTCTATTTTTATTCGATGATTTTTGAAAGTCACTGACTTGATGTTCCTAGGCTTTGAGTTAGGAATGGTTCTTGTTAATTTAATAAAAAACAATTAAAATTTTTCTGATTTTTTTCTTCTCTATTTCTTGCTAATCCAATGAATTTAAATGCTGTCTGTTAATTTAATAAATCTTCATTACTTTAAAGAATTCCAATTAAAAGTTAGAATTGTACTTGTTAATCAAAGGGAATTCTATTTAAAAATGGTGAAATCAGCAGGATTTTAGGGCGACTGCACAGAAATGCAATACTGGCAGCATACTCCAGTAAAGTTATTACTGTCGCAGACAATTAAAGCCGCATTACCGCTAATCCCTAATACTGCAGACTTTCTTTGTCATTCTGACTTTATAATCACAAAGAAAAAAGCTAATTTAGAATCAGACTGTACCAGACAAAGCCAATGCTTAAGACGATCAAAGTCCTTCATGTTAATTTGCTTCGTAATTATTGCTGGGAATGTCATCATATTCCAGAGTCATTTAGCAACTTTATAATAGCAGTAAGTAAAAATAAATTCTGTTTGTCTAATAATTATACACTTGCATTTTAAGAGGTTCAACCTCACTATATCAAGCCTGTTAATGCCCACTTTTTCAAGGAGTAACCTCTCTAAAACACCTTTTTCACGGAGTAATCTCTCTAAAACTCCACTTTTTCAAGGAGTAACCTCTCTAAAACACCTTTTTTCAAGGAACAATCTCTCTAAAATCCCTCTTTTTTAAGGAGTCATCTCTCTGAATCCCCACTTTTTCAAGGAATAACCTCTCTAAAGCACCTTTTTTCAAGGAGCAATCTCTCTAAAATCCCTCTTTTTCAAAATAAAGCTCTCTAGTTGTTCAAAACCATATTTTTTCATGCAGAAATTAAGCTCTAAATCTCCTTAAATACATCTTTTTCAAGAACAAAGATGTGTAAAATCGTCTTGAAATACTTCTTTAAAAAAAAAGAAAGCTAAGTAACTGTTTTAAAACCCCTTAAGTAACTGTTTTAAAACCCCTCTTTTTTAAAGCAAGGCCCCAACCAGTTTAAAATCCCTCTTTTTCAAAATGCAAACTTTTGAACTGTTCAAACCCCCTCTTTTTCAGATAAAAAGATGAAAAAGAGGAGAGTGTAGGATGGTGTAAACATGACAGGAAATAAATTGTTTTTAATTCATAACCTGCTGGAACCAAAAGTGATTTGCCATCGCCACTAGTATAGAGCCAGGCTTACATACATATAGTGTGACCAGACTCTCTACTGCTGGATGACCAATATTAAATTTCTAAAATTTATAATGGACGTCTCGAAACTGGAAATTGGACAAGACTATTTACGACAAGACTATGGCATGTTTTTACGAAATTCAGCAGGTTAAATGTTTGTTTATCATATCAATTTAACATTTACAAAATAAGGCGTGATAGACAGATTTTAAAACCTTTGGGGGTATCTAAGCAACAGTCTAATTTTATCACAATAAAAAAAAATAATATAATTTTATGTCTGTCTCGGTACAAAAATGAAAATATTTACGTCTAAAAGCTGCTTCTAATTTAAAAGTGAACCAAAAATAGATGTCATTATTATTTCTTTGTCTTCTTAATTTCTCATAGACAACATATGAACTGTCTCTTGACGTAAATATGTACTGTTTTTCCTTATGTTAATTCTGTTATTTTCTTTAATCTTTTCATACTTGTTTCAGAACGTCGATTTAAGTCGCATAGATTTTTAAATCTTATTTCAGAGATCAGGATGGTATTATATATTTTTCACTTTGATGGAATTAATGCCTCATGTTTAGAACATCTATAAATAGAGTTAAAATAGGCAGTCCTATGGTTTTAATCTCCTGCATTCGTTCAATAACCTGCCATATTCTCCCTTAATAATGCTGTATATAAGAATTGATAATGATTTGCCACAATGAGGATTCGCCTTATAAGGATTTGCTACACTTTAGTGACACTTTGCCCCACTTTAAAATAAATGTGGATGTGGATGTTAACACTCGTTTGTTAAAATCACCACCTTTGACAAAAAGTCTAAGTAGCAAATTCATTAATTTGACCTTCAAAGTCAAGGTCATTAATGAATGAAACCATAATCAATTTGGTCTACTTGAAGGCCTTTGCCAGAGAGTTGTGAAGACAATCAATTCAAAAATAACAAAGTTATTGTCAATTTTAGCAAAAATCAAGCAAAATTCAAACATTTGACCTTGCAAGACAAGGTCATTTATGAGTCAAGGTCAAGTTTAGTTTGGTCTACTTGGAGGTCTTGTCCAAAGGGTTGTTGTGTCTAAGTATTAAGATAATCCATAAGGAAATACAAATTATGGTTAAATTTTCTTGACGGCAACGACAACCTAACTGTAGCAATAGCTCGTAATTTTTCTTTGAAAGTCAAGCCAAATAGAAGAATAACTTCAAACAAGAGCTGTCAGCAACGCTCGACTATTCTTAGTGCTTGATAGTAAAAAAAATGCTTGATACAGTTACCTCCTCCTGTTTACAGGTTGGGGTCATGATGGTGAACAAGTGTGCAAAGTTTCAAAGACATATGTCAATGGACTTTGAAAATATTTGAACTATTACAAAAACTTTAACATAAATTTTAAGTCAAAAAAGGGGCATAATTCTGTCAAAATGCTTGATAGAGTTACCTCCTCCTGTTTACAGGTTGGGGTCATGATGTTGAACAAGTGTGCAAAGTTTCAAAGCCATATGTCAATGGACTTTGAAAATATTTGAACTATTACAAAAACTTTAACGTAAATTCTAAGTCGAAAAAGGGGCATAATTCTGTCAAAATGCTTGATAGAGTTACCTCCTCCTGTTTACAGGTTGGAGTCATGATGTTGAACAAGTGTGCAAAGTTTCAAAGCCATATGTCAATGGACTTTGAAAATATTTGAACTATTACAAAAACTTTAACGTAAATTCTAAGTCGAAAAAGGGGCATAATTCTGTCAAAATGCTTGATAGAGTTACCTCCTCCTGTCTACAGGTTGGGGTCATGATGGTGAACAAGTGTGCAAAGTTTCAAAGCCATATGTCTATGGACTTTGAAAATATTTGAACTATTACAAAAACTTTAACGTAAATTCTAAGTCGAACAAGAGCTGTCAGTAGGACAGCAATGCTCGACTATTCTTAGTGCTTGATAGTAAAAAAAATGCTTGATACAGTTACCTCCTCCTGTTTACAGGTTGGGGTCATGATGGTGAACAAGTGTGCAAAGTTTCAAAGCCATATGTCAATGGACTTTGAAAATATTTGAACTATTACAAAAACTTTAACGTAAATTCTAAGTCGAAAAAGGGGCTTAATTCTGTCAAAATGCTTGATAGAGTTACCTCCTTCTGTTTACAGATTGGGGTCATGATGTTGAACAAGTGTGCAAAGTTTCAAAGCCATATGTCAATGGACTTTGAAAATATTTGAACTATTACAAAAACTTTAACATAAATTCTAAGTCAAAAAAGGGGCATAATTCTGTCAAAATGCTTGATAGAGTTACCTCCTCCTCTCTACAGGTTGGGGTCATGATGGTGAACAAGTGTGCAAAGTTTCAAAGCCGTATGTCAATGGACTTTGAAAATATTTGAACTATTACAAAAACTTTAACATAAATTCTAAGTCGAAAAAGGGGCATAATTCTGTCAAAATGCTTGATAGAGTTACCTCCTCCTCCTGTCTACAGGTTGGGGTCATGATGGTGAACAAGTGTGCAAAGTTTCAAAGCCATATGTCAATGGACTTTGAAAATATTTGAACTATTACAAAAACTTTAACATAAGTGGTTACGCCGACACCGACGCTCGGGTGACTGCAATAGCTCTACTTATTCTTATCGAATAGTCGAGCTAAAAAGGGGCATAATTCTGTCAAAATGCTTGATACAGTTACCTCCTCCTGTCTACAGGTTGGGGTCATGATGGTGAACAAGTGTGCAAAGTTTCAAAGCCATATGTCAATGGACTTTAAAAATATTTGAACTATTACAAAAACTTTAACATAAGTGGTTACGCCGACGCCGACGCCCAGGTGACTGCAATAGCTCTACTTATCCTTATCGAATAGTCGAGCTAAAAATAGCTTTCAGAGTTATTCCCCTTGTAAATAACTGCAAATTGTCAAGATAAGCAAGAACTCCATGTTGGAAGCTTGACAAGTCCAGTTTATGGTTAAGGACTCCTTATATCAAAGTCAAAAGAAAAACAACTTTATTTTTTCATTGGCTTTTCAGTCATATCCACACTGTTAAGGTCATGTGACTACTTTTGAGCATTACTGGTATAGTTAGACCTCAGCTGCCCCCTCACCTATAAATTAAGCACTCACAAAATTAACCTTCAGCCGTCTAGTTAGCTTAAGAGGTAGAGCGTTGGACTGTGAATCGGGTGCCCGGGTTTGATTCCCAGACGACGCAGGTCACTTTTGTTGTAATTGATCATGAAATTCTTTCTATGGTCATTTGCACTGTACCTCTGCTCTTGCATGAACAGAAGTTTCAGTTCCATGCGAAAGTGAAGGCAACTAGTACCGGTAAACTGCTTGACAGTCTGCTCAGGAACGATGCGGTGGTTGAACTGTGCTCTGGTGAATTCAATGTGGCTTACTGTCGTGATCCAGAGTGAAAACTACCATACCACCACCAACTTAACCTTTAGCATGATTCAATTGATTGTACATGTGACCAGTGCAGACGAAAATAAGGCAACACATCCATGCCGTCTGCAATATTCACTACTCAGTAATTACATACGTTTAAATTTTCCCTAAAAAATATGAATGGTTTGGCCAAGACTGAAAGATGGGTAAGTCCGTTTAAGATATTTAGAGTGGTATGGATTCATGGCATAATATATACATGTATAAATCATTATTTCAAATTTAACTGAATCATTTATGATACTCTTCTTTTAAGAAGATTTTAATTCACTGAAAATTTGAACTTCAAAGACACAAAACTAAAAACCAAGCTAACTGAACACCACTTTCTCTGCTGAGCAACGTTTTTTGAGTCAATAGTAATCTTCTTTCAGTAATTACAAAGGTCTCAGAATTTACTGCACATTTTCTTCCAATACATGTAATTTTCTCTCATACAAAATAATTCTCCAGTTAAATGAAACTCTGGATACTTTTCTAATAACCACTTTGAAGATGAAATTTGACTCCATCTAAAGAGCCTTTACTTTTCCCCTGTCCTAAAATGAAATTCCCAATCCATCAGTTGAAGAGAAGAGAAGTCATTACATTTATCAAATCAATGACTAATTTAATCCTTCATTTTACTTCAATATAATTATGGAATACAAACATTTCATTTTTGTCTAGTCTCCGAATTTCTCCATAACCTGTCTTTAAACAAGAGCTGTCTGAGGAGTGCAGCGCGCTCCACTTTTTTCTAAGCTGGATGATAATGACCAATTTTATGTTTTGCCATTTCAGGTACCAGTGACCTTGACCTTTGACCTATTGACCTTGGTGTGACAGGTAGAACTTGTCATAATATATCGACTTGTTATAGTGTTCATTGTAAGTATTAAAGTAAAAACATAACCAAGAGCGCCACTTTTTTCTTTAAGAAGTATAGCTTAAAAATGAGGGTTCACCAATCCCCCCACCCCCACAGGGACCATACTCCCCATATAATAAGCATTGGATACTAATTTAGCAACCTGCTTTCATCTCATAACAACACAAAAATAAAATCTTCATAAAAAATATTTTAACCAAACAAAATGTGTTTTCATTTATTTTTTTAACCTTACCTCTACATTTCTCTGTATATTTGGTTTGAAATAATAAGATATAGCTGCGATCTGTAACCATAGAAACGGCAGAGAAAAACTCTCCCTAAGTGGAATAACATATTCAACTCTTGTTGTATCCAACCTGTAAACAAAACATAAATTTTATCACTTTAAACCAGGTTGTTGACATCGTGACATTTTATGATATTAAATCTGGGAATATTGTCACTATAAACAATGGCATAATGGTTATATTGTACTGAAAAACTTGCATTGTCAAGTGATAAATTTCTGAGTTTTTTTTGCTTTCACATCAAGTGAATGGGAGATGTCATTTCAAAAGTTGTTTTGTTAAATAGTGTCTTTTTTCTGTTACATTTTCTGGAAAATATCATAGCATGTGATAGCAAGAATCAAACGTGAGTTGTCATTTTAAATAGACTTACATGTACATTTTTTTTTTTGGTTGGGCTTAATGTGGCAGCAACACAGTAAAGGTCATATGGTGACTTTCCAGCTTTACTGGTGGCATTATTTCAGACACAAACGGGCACCTGAGTAGAACCACAGACATTGTAAATTAGATGGATACCTGTTCAAGACAGGTCATAAAGTTTGTCACACACTTGTTTAGCTGTTAACTAGCTAGAACTAGTATTTAGCCCCTGCTGCCAGTAAAGAGTCCAGCCATGCAGGCTGACCAGGCTCTATACTCATGGTAGTTCAAGTTTTGTATTTGGATGTTAAAATCCCTCAAATTATGAATGGACTGTTCTAAATCATAAGCTGGGTAAGTTCATTCTGCTGGTTATGGGTTAATAATGTATTCCTAAACTTGTTAAATATACATGTATATAGGATCCAACACGAGTTGCCATTTGATATAGACTTATATTAAATTAGTCTACAAAAGTATTACAGTAAAAACCCCCTTTACGACCACCCCGTTTTAGAGACCAACCCGCTAATACGAACGATTTTTCAAAGACCCAATTTTTTTATTCTTTATTTTAATGGTCGCTAACCCCGATTTTGAGACCACCCCGTTATTCCGTAATACGACCAGTAAATTCAGTCCCATTTCGTAAATTCTGTACATTCTGAAACCCATAAATACGACTGCGGGTACTTTCTCACCTTGATATTGACATGCATGTATATTGCTGAAATCTTTTTGACACGTAGTGTAAACAACAGTTGTCCTAGTTTTACGACATTTAACGACATCCAATTTACGGCAGAGGTCAAGGTTACTTTGTATCAAACCCGGAAATTATCAATAATATTGTCGATAATTTCTTAATTTTTCACTCCTTTAATGTCATAACTGGAGGATTAAAACAACAAAATATTGAACAGAAAACTTTCAATAAGTTTTTTTAGAGGTGTTGCTGCTATCATTATCTCTTTCGTTCCATAATTTTAAACAAACATAAACATGATACGATTAGGTTTTTGAAGTTTTTATCGGCGATGAAAACTGTGAAGATAATTAAAGGTTAATTGGTCGATGTGCTTTGCAGTAAAATGGTGATTTAATTGAGTAAGTCATGTCATTCTTTTAACAAGAATGTAAAAATATGTTTGTGTTTAAAGACATTCATGATACATTTTGTACCTCTAAAGCAGTTTAATTAAAATTTATATGTTAAAAAGTAAAAGAAAATAAATAAAAATAAAAAAATAATAGTGAATGTTTAATATCTTCTCATTTGAAAAAGGTTAGCCCAGAATTAAACATGTGTACAGGACATGGTATCCCTTAATATATTGCCTGGTTTTCTGTTTGACCAAACTCATTAATGAGACCACCCGCTATTAAGACCAGATCTGTAAAGTCCCTTCATTGGTCTCATTAGCGGGTTTTTACTGTATATAGAAAGCCCTGTGGTGAGAAATTATAATATTTCTGAATGAGTTTAACATAAGCCTATATAAAATTTCAACTCAAATAATATACTAAATATCTTCTTGAAACAACCTTTATCAAAATGAAGTTTGTTAAATGAAACTTTTTACAGGATTTTACACAACTTGCCATTTAAAGTGTAAAAAGCTATATATCTGCTGCAAAAATTATTGTTTGAATTTTCAAAAAGAATACAATGTACTTTCAAAGTGATTGTATGAAAGAAATATGGTAATAAATTGTCTTTAAAGTGAATGGCACATGCACGAAATCATTACTAAATGGATAAAACCCTACTTACAATAGCAGAACTGGAACATTTTTTTTCTGTTTTACGTAAAATATTCATGTGTGTTAAATAACAGAGACATTCTATGCTACAGCTCTTTCAAAAATTGACCATATAAGATAGTGAAATGATATCAATAATTTCACTGTAGATAAATTTTTTGAAAATATTTCGAAAGATAAAGCTATATTCCCTTTAACTAAAAGCGGCCAACATTATTCTTTCGTTGTATTATTGACCTTAAATTTGCAAAAAATATAGAATGCGCAGCTGTACAGACTGCCTGGCCTCGTATACTGGTGACATTATAGATGAGTCATTACCTCAGATTGGGCTCGAACATTTAAGTTACCTGTTAAAGATGTAGAAACAACCAGCCAGGGCACCAGCAAGCCAGGAACCACTCAACATCCAGGCTGTTACAAACAGCGAGCATACCAGCATTCCATGTAGGGCAAACACCGAATTAATGTAGAAAAACACTGGCTCGAGAAAATTCTGAAAAATAACAATAAGTACAATTTAGATAAACATTTAATGTAAAATTTGTAAAATTACCAATTTTACCATTCTTACGTTTATGTTAGCTACCCAAGGTGGGTGATTATGTCACTTTTACTTTATATGTAACCACGCAACATGACTTATGACAGTGTTAATATTTAAACTGATTTTAAAGGTACTTGCTCCTTAGTTCCATATAATAATCTGTTTATGATATGATGATCATATTTCAGGAAAAATAAATTCTGATTCTAGCAATACATAACCCTCCAATATCGCTATTGTAATTTTCAAGTTTTATTTGCATCAATTTTTCAATGGAGTAATTTTTTTTTATTGAAAATGTGTGGCAACATTGTCATTAAATATAATTATTTAGCATTGTAATATTAGTGAAAGCATGCTGGGAACACAACAAGAGCTTGTAACTTAGGAAAGCTATGTACCATTGGCATTAGCAAATATTTTGCCTGGAATATCAAACCATTATAATTATTTTATATTCAAATAGTGACAGATTTAACTAAAAATATACAAAATAACTTTAAGGTCATGGGTGTTGCTATTAATAGTGACACAATCTTACCATAATCAAATGTTTAGAAGACATTTAGAAGCACAACCAAGGTCAATTTACCTGAATGCAATTTCCTTATACAGAGAATTTTAGCCTTCACAGTAAATTTTGAAGCCAACAGTAGATAATATTTGGTGCCAAATTCTACCCTAATGTACATCACATTAATTTAATGACATTCACAAATAAATTTTAGGAAGGAATCCTATCAATGTTTACATCTCAAGTATGACACATTTAGAAATCAAAATTGGAGGATTATGTCACACCAACACAGTACAGGTCACATGGCGACTTTCCAGATATACTTCTAGAAAAAGGCCTCGGATGCCCTTCTGTGCATTATTTCAGGCAGAAATTGGCAAATAAACAGTCCTAATGATGGTGTTACATCCAGTTTCATCTGGTTATCTGGTTAACTGTTATCTGGTTAACTATCACAGAATATTTTAAAAAATAGTCAAAGAACAAATATAGGAATTTCAAAAATGTTTTATTTTCTACAACGTTCAGACTATTTTACTTTTAATTCTAAGTCAAAAGACATTTTGTTTAGAAGGAACTAAAGAGATAGCACAAGATGTTTTTTTAAAAGCATATTGATTTATATAATCACTGTTGTTCGAAATATCTTGATAATAATGCAATTATTTCACATTTTCCACCGCAAATAAAGAGTCGTCTGCGACCTTTCCAAAACCCAAAGAACCAATTTTAAATATCCTACAATAAATCATTAGTTCCCATCTGCTGGAATTAATTTCCGTTGCAAAAAATGTCTGTTAACATCAGGAAAGTAGTGTGGAAATTTCTAAGAGATATTTTGTATGACAATATAATACAGCATCAAGGGGATATCTTAAATGTCATCCAAGATATTATTGATTAGTTTCTATTCTCCACAGATTTCCCCGAGATCTGCAATTATCAACACGTTTTTTTCTTCTTCTGCAATCTATGTTTGTAAAGGAATTTCTGAAAAATATCTCGTCGAAACTAATTATTTACCTGCCTTTTTTCTTTAAATTACGAGGTACTGGTAGTCAGACTTTAGTTAACATTGGCGATATAAATGGTAAATCGTTAAAAGTAAGAACTGGTGCATTTTCTATAAATTTTATGAATTACAAAAACTGTGCCATTGCATTGTGGTTATTTCTCAAAAAAAAAAAAAAAAAGCGTCAGTCTACATAAAAGTTATAAATAAACAGAATAAAAAGATACCAGTGTTATTGTAATTTGTGTTTAAATTTAAGAAATAATATATCCCAAACTGTGATTTTATTGCTCAATAACATCACTGTTTGGAGTTCGGATGCGGGGAATTATATCACGAGGGCGTAGCCCGAGTGATATAATGATGCGTATCCGAACGACAAACAGTGATGTTATCAAGCAATAAAATCATCGATTTGGATATATTATTTCGATTCTAACACGACATCAACAAATAAATGCTGCCGTACATGATAATTAGCTAAATTACGTCTGATTTGTTTCCGTACTTATTGTCAGCACGTCACATTTTTACTGGTTACGTCACGTGTATAATGATTACGTCACATGTCTAAATATAGTCAAACAGTGATTTTATTGCATAATAACACACTTTCGGTTCTTCTATGTTCAATAGGGAAAAATGCGGGTCGTGTTAGAATAAGATCTTTAGCATGTATCACTCTTGGCTTCAAACAAATCTTAATTATGTCAGTATTTAAACATGAAGCAAATAACAAAACGAACATCTCAAGATAGGCTTCTTATTACAGACCTATACATATTATTCCAAATTTACTTCATGTACCATACACAACATTTCAACAAATTTTAAAAGGATGTCTGTATAGGGGTGAGCTGCGTAATGACAGCACTAATATAATGCCATTACATTTTTGGGGTTTGGTTTTACATTGCACCAACACAGTACCGTCATATGGTGAATTTCCTGCTTTGCAAGTGAAAATCAGACCTAAGGTGCCCTTCCCCACATTATTTCAGGCACAAACGAGCACCTGGGTAGAGTAACTACTGATGTTCCGTAAGCTTAAACTGGATAGCTTCCTCACATAAAAGAACCCAACGTCCCTAGTGAGATTTGAACCCTCTGTCTGAGGTGGTTTGAAGTCAATGACCTTTAGAACTCGGCATTGGATGCCCCAAGAAACGTGTATCCTATTTTACAACTTTGGTACCTTCCAATTTTCTAGTCAATGTCCGTAGCGAAAATGCCATTAACTAATGAAAAAAAACAGTGTGACATTTTCAAGGTATTATTTTGACTTACCACATATTAGCATTTCAATGCATATAAATTAGTAATTGGCCACACATGTGAAAGGAAGCAATTTACTTAATTGCCAATTACAACATGCTACAGAGTAGAGACTCTTTGGGGTGACATGCTAACATGCGATCAGTTAATAAAAAAAAGCATTGTGAAAATCACCTGCATTCAAATTAAAATGAAGCCATAGAAAAGGGTGCTTGATCCAAGAGAAATAGCTGTCGGCTGAAATTAATTTCTAGTTATGACCAGATTACATGAAATCTTCTACAAATATTTACGATTTCATACTATATAGTAATAAATATATGATTTCATAGTAGTTAATATAAATATTAAATAAAGACCACTGTGTCAAGATGATATTTCCATAGATAATAATGACTAGTCTCCCCAACAGCTATCATTATATTCATTCATTATAAACAGTGTCTGGCATGCTTCATTAAAGGAGCTCAACTGAAGTCCGAATTAAGGCATTCCATTCAGTAGTTTTCAAGACAGCAACTTGCACACAAAAACTTGAGTGCCACCGCCACCAACACAGGGGTGAGTACAATAGTTCTCTCTCTTTTTTCAATAGTCAAGCAAAAAACAGCATGCTCACTCATTGTAATAATTTGGGAGCAAGAAGAATCAAATCTCTGAATGTCACTGAATATATCAAGTCCGATTTTAAACTTTCTTACTGCGAGCAAGAATATGTCAATATGCTTATCAAGCTTTTCTTTGAGCAAGAATATCCTCAAATATTCATTCAATTAGAAAAATATCTGGTTGGTATCCTTATGGCTGAATACAAAGTTTCTTACTGTGACTATGATATTCACAGTAAAACTGTTGTAATTTTATTGACTATTGGGACATCAAGATCCTTAATTGTGAGCAGAAATATGCTCACTCAAAAAAATAAAATATCAGTAAACTTGACAGCTCATTAGGATTTTTTAACCTTCTTACTATGGGTGCAGGAATACACTGTAATTTCTTAATCTAAGGAATATCACTCAAAGTGAATATACCTGCTTTGCAGTCATTTAATGACATACATGTATATACAACTTCACACTACCAGCAATACAACAATAATGTGATCATTTGCTGGTGCTAGCCTCCTGTTGTCAAGGTAAAACTAGTCATAGATTTGGTGATAAAATGATGCACAATTCAATCAATATTACATTATATACACCATTAAGCTTATAATTTCATGTCAGAAAACACAGTGACAACAACAAGCAAGCATGCTGGATGATTGATCACAAATAAATCACCGCACAGACAACAGTCTGTCTCTTAACTCCATCACAGCCAGTTATATATAGGACATGATCTCACATTTGTTGTCATATAATATAAAATTCTATTATATTCATTCAAGAAATTGATATAAAGCTTGCTTCTGATGACCTTTAGATCATTTTCTTGAATGCGTTTTATGAAAAATGATATCATAATTATAAGATATAATATCATATATGATATCATATGACAACAAATGTGAAATTCTTTTGGTCAAATGACTAAAGGCATTTAAAATTTGTGAAAATAAATGTGTTTTTAATGTTTTACATGTGCTGTTGTATGGCCTTTTTACGGAAGCGTCCTGGTGCCAATTCATAATGTTCTATAAAAAAAATAAACTCCTACGTAGGAGATAAAAAAGCCTAATTAGGAGTTTGTAACTCCTACGTAGGACTTTTAAACTCCTACGTAGGACTTTGTAAGTCCTACGTAGGACTTTATAACTCCTACGTAGGACTTTATAACTCCTATGTAGGACTTTGTAACTCCTACATAGGACTTTATAACTCCTACGTAGGAGATAAAAAAGCCTAATTAGGAGTTTATAACTCCTACGTAGGACTTTTAAACTCCTACGTAGGACTTTATAACTCCTACGTAGGAGATAAAAAAAGCCTAATTAGGACTTTATAACTCCTACGTAGGACTTTGTAACTCCTACGTATGACTTTCAAACTCCTACGTAGGACTTTATAACTCCTACGTAGAATACATATCAAAGAACTGAAAGCACAGAATTCGACGGACATGTATGCTAGAGTATAACTTAACATAGAATGTAGGACAAAACCCCACCAGTTAAAACCCCACCACTCAAAATTTTATAGAGTGGACAAAACCCCACCACTACATTTCATAGAGTGGACAAAACCCCACCACTAAATTTTACAGAGTGGACAAAACCCCACCACTTCAGTTTTATAGAGTGGACACAACTTTCTTGTAAACATGTTAAAAAACAAACAACTGTGCATCAGCAGAAACTCAAAATAATGTGTGAACAACTCATCAATAAGGAGTTACAGTTTGTAACACCTTTTTGCAATCAAACATTAATAAATAATCTGTTTTGTTCTTCAGGGATTAGGATTAAGTTTTTTGTGTACAGTTTGTAACACCTTTTTTGCATATTGCACATGCAAGATGTACATGCATTGTTAATAAAATTGTTCATTCTTATATTACACAAATGTTATATTGAAATTAAAAAATAAAATGTGAAAAAATGTGTATATTATATATATTATAATTTATCAAATCTTGCCCAATAAGTGGTGGTGTTTTGTCCACTCTGTGAAATTTAGTGGTGGGGTTTTGTCCACTCTATAAAATTTAGTGGTGGGGTTTTGTCCACTCTATAAAATTTTGAGTGGTGGGGTTTTAACTGGTGGGGTTTTGTCCGTCTTCCCTTAACATAGCATATTATGTAGGAAAATGAATTATATGAGCCGCGCCATGACAAAACCAACATAGTGCATTTGCGACCAGCATGGATCCAGACCAGCCTGCGCATCCGCTCAGTCTGATCAGGATCCATGCTGTTCGCTTACAAACCCTATTACAAGTAGAGAAACTGATAGCGAAAAGCATGGATCCTGATCAGACTGCGTGGATGCGCAGGCTGGTCTGGATCCATGCTGGTCGCAAACCAACTATGTTGGTTTTGTCATGGCGCAGCTCATATGTGTCAAGTTGTAATTGTGGCAAGCCACTTTAGTAAATACCTTTAGTCTGTAGCCAGAGATGATTTTGTCATTCTCTGCATATATTAAACGATGATTCTGTATTATGTACGTTTAGTTATATTTATTATACACATGTACACAAAATGTATGGCCATTGGGTTAAACTTTGGATATACAATGTAATTCATTATTAAACATATGCATGCATAATGCTCCGCAAACCGTTATCTTCTTAAACTTTACGGAGCAGGAACAAGACACTTCACTACCCCCCCCCCCCCCCCCCTATAAGGATTTAATCATTAGAAACGGCCGAAAATGGATAAATTGCTTGTATTGTTCAGCTAGTTTGTATTGAAATCGTAATCATTTAAAATTTTGATATATATGCTTGATGTTGAGTAAGTTTTTTTCGAATAGCTGTAAAGCAATTTTTCGGGATACATCGCCAATGCTTACAGACACCTCACCCTAAGACACTGTACACTCTAGAAATCTGAGACACTTTATTAAAAGGTGAAGTGTTGCGGCATGGCCGTGTGACTAGTAGTCTAATGACCACTAGCCGCATGGGTTCAAACCCCGTTAGGCGCAAGCCGTTGTTTCCTTGAGCAAGAAACTTTACACTCGTTGCTAAGTACGTACTGGTTGGTTCCAGGAACGGATTCGAAAGTGTGTCTATAAGCTTATAGCTTCCTACACAATCAAAAATAAATTCTGTATGAACCAAAGGTGAAATGTCCTCTATATTTAAGATTTGAGGGGAGGGGGGGTAAGTGTCTTGTAGGAGTTATAAAGTCCTACGTAGGAGTTTAAAAGTCCTACGTAGGAGTTACAAACTCCTAATTAGGCTTTTTTATCTCCTACATAGGAGTTTATTTTTTATAGAACATTATAAATTGGCACCAGGACGCTTCCGTACCTTTTTGTTATAAAATTTATAGGCAAAATTGATGTCACAGTAATGTTTTATTTACATGCGTGTATAAGAAGATAAGAAATATGTAATGGTTATATTAAACAGAAAGCAAGAGACATCTTGTGATAAAAATAAATAGTCAGTAAACTGAAAGGTTGGTAAAAATATGATTTTTAACACATACTGAAGCTCTAATGTGTATGACTTGTTTGCACTAAATTGTTTTTTTTTAAAACAATTTCAAAAGTAAGTTAAAGATTGAGACATGTGGTTAGGTTGTTATAAATATACTGAAAAGAGAGAAAAAAAATTATAGAGTTGAGTCTAGCACATTGGCTCACACAATCTACTGCGAATTCACTTATATTCGTGGGCATGAAATTTCGTGGTTTTATCAAAACAGGCATTTTCGTGGGTTCTTAAATTCGTGGATTTTCGTTTTCCTGTTAAAGATAAAATTCAGTAACCTAATGCAAAGTAATCTTAAACTTAATCGCCAAACATCTTTACTTATAACATGTACACATCTTTACTTGTCACACAGCGCTTGTCAATAAATTTAATCCTTGCCTCTGGCAATAGCTCTAATATACATGTAGCACAGTTACTGCCGATAATTGACTGCAATTAACACGTGTGACACGATATGCACCTCCATTGGACACACTGCCCCTGTAATTCGCCGATGTAAACATTGCATAATTTATACGACACCTGACAGGTTTTAACCAGCGAGTTTAAAAGTTTACACCCTGAATTGGTCATAACATATTTGAAAGTAACTACACGCAACGTCACAGCGACTGTGTAAATTTACATGCATATAAATTAATCTCGATAAATAACACGAGTATGTGTGGATCTTGTAAAAGTCAGTGGCGTCTTTGATGTTTACGGAATAGCATTCGCACAAATACAGATAAAAATTCATTTAAACTGGATCATTTAAAAATGACAAAAGAATGTACAATAAATCTGTTTTAGCGATCGTATTTTTTTTTTATAGTTTTGTGTACCAACGACATTTACTTTCAAAGACTTTTTTTAAATTAATACAGACAATTTTTAATAGCGCTAATTATTGCATTGCCTGGGTTCCCATATTTACTCGATTATGTCAAGTATTCTTGTTAACACAATCAAGTCCTAGTAGACTATGTGTACAACGATCAAGTGTGTATATAAATTATGCGACATTATATTTTGTGATAGTAAATTGAGGACATATAATTGAGTTTTCTTTCAAGTTTCTTAAATATTGCAAACGGATTTAATTTGTCACTAACCTGATTATCTGTCTGTATTTACATCAATTTCACGAAATATCGGCCGGAAAAGAGCCGACGCATGTTTGTAATATACAGAACAGAGACTGGGTAAGAAGTATTTGTTGGGATAAATGTTCGTCGGATCTTAAATTCGTGGATTGACCTACCCACGAAAACCACGAAAATTCGTGCCCCACGAATAATAATGATTTTACAGTATATAAATTAGATGTAAATGCATCGTCCGATACCCGCAGTTAATTAACATGTAACGTAATATGTAATCAATAAATAAATGTGAATGGTTCCGCCGTGGGTATCCAACAATGATATTAACATTTCCTTTATCGAAAACAAGGACTGTTTTTATTTTATTGTATGAATCTCCAAACATTTTTAGGGAAGCCGTCTGTTAACACAATTATATCAATCCACTCAAAATCAAGTGAAAATTGTTCAACAAGTTATATTTTTGCACAAAAATTCTTAGAAAAAAATTGTAATATTTACAAAATTCCCAGAAGGGTTTCTTTTTTATATAATACACAGGAAGAATTATTAAACATAATTATATATTTGCAATATCTGTCACCTACTGTAAACACCTCTTGCAGCAGACGACAATTTTTTATGATGGTGAAATCTCATGTGATTCTTATGCAATAAATATAGATAAAGTAGTTCCACATATGCCCTACCTTAAAGGGTAATATCCTGTAAATAATGCTGAGAACTACTTCTTGGTAGATATTCATACGCTCGAGGACATTTATTGTACTGGGATGTTCCGTCAGGTTGTCATGTGTAAGTTCATATAGACCTACAATATAAAAATTAATATCTTATCCTAAATATGAAGAATAATAATACATGCAAGTTTGTAACATCACTTTTCATTGGGTAATCATTACATTCATATAATCTATAGACATGGCTGCTGTCAATTTATGAAGTCAATCTGTTATAAAGATGTCCGACATGTTATATGGCCACATACAAATGGTTGCATTACAATATAACCCTCACCTAACAACTCAGGTTATATAAGCTTATACTGAGTTTATATTGAGCCATATAACCTGACACCTTTATTATTAATATTATAAAGCAAACCTCATGTGACTTAGACTTTTAACATTTCTTGGACAAGTTTTTGATGTAAGTCTATAATTATAAGAATTTAATGACATTTGATGTAAAAGGATTATTTTCTTCATCACATGATATTGTAAGTCAGGAAACATGTCAATGCATGATCCTTTATTAACATATATTGCATGTTTGTAATAAAATTACAACGCACCATAATAGTATGTCAGCAGGATAGACTGACAAAGCCAAATCTGTATCCCCCTCAGTCCCTCTCTAACTATTGGGGGACATAAAAATGTATACAACAAGCAAATTTGTTGAATTTTATATCCCCCGCCGAGTACTGGTTATTACTAACACAACAACTAAAGGCATAAGCCTTTATTTATATATTTATCATGGCGTAAACAGTAATATTCTTTGTACATAATAATATTCAGGGCAATAACAGAGCCTTAATTAACTCGGTGTTAAATAGTAATATCTGGACATGGCAATGAGATGTAAATTGCCTTTTTGTATCTATGGTTCCCATAAAGTTTTGTTGAAATCAATACAGCAGTTGCAAAGAAATAGCAATATTACTATATATGCATACTACATAACTTATCAAGGGCCATAACTCTGTAATGAAGGATCTGGTCTGAACAAGGCAACAAATTATGCACATCTCATCTTGGTATTAATGGTTCCCTTAAAGTTTAATTGAATTCCAGCTAGTAGATGCAGAGAAGTGGCCTGGAAACAATTATTGCTCTATATGCATACTGTATAATTAATCAAGGGTCATAACTCCGAGTTGAAGTGTCTGACCGAACAAGGCGAAGATATGCGCATCTCATCTTGGTATTGAAGGTTCCCATAAAGATTTGTTGAATTCCAGTTAGTAGTTGCAGAGAAGTAGCTTGAAAACGATTATTTCTCTATATGTATGCTGTATAACTTATCAAGGGCCATTACTCTGATTTAAGTGTCTGACCGGAACAAGGCAACAATATGCGCATCTCCTCTTGGTATTGAAGGTTCCCATAAAGTTTCGTTGAATTCCAGCCAGTAGTTGGTGAGAAGTAGCATGGAAACATTTATTGCACTTTCATAATGCATACTGCATAACTAATCAAGGACCATAACTCTGAGTTAAAGTATCTGACCAGAACAAGGCAATGATATGCGCATCTTCTCTTGGTATTGAAGATTCTCATAATGTTTCCTTGAATTCCAACAAGTAGTTGCAGAGAAGTAGTGCGGAAACGATTCTTGCTCTATATGCATACTGCATAACTAATCAAGGGCCATAACTCTGAGTTGAAGTGTCTGACCGGAGCAAGCCGACCATATGCGCATCTCCTCTTGGTATTAAAGGTTCCCATAAAGTTTCATTGAATTCCAGCCAGTGGTTGCAGAGAACTTGTGCGGAAATGCAATTCGGACGGACGGATGGATGGACGGACAGATTACAGGACGGACAATGCCAAAACAATATCCCACTCCCAATTCCATCGACGTGGGGAGATAACAACAATGAATGACATTACGCCTGCAACGTCATTCCAGAACCTACCAACTACATGTACTTTTTTACAATTCTGACAGAACTTCTTTTTGTTGCAATGTTATATTTGTGCATATGATTATGGTAACAAATGAAGCTGAAATGTTACAAACTGTATGCATGTATGTATTTAATAAAAAGAATTACATAATGGTTACATTATATTGAAATTAAATGGATGTCATGTTATATAGCCATTTTCAATATAACAGAAGTATTTATATACTCTCAGTAGAGCAGTAAAATATAATACTCAAATGCATGTAATAAATATATATATGTACATTGTATATCAAATGGGTTCTTTTTTACCTCGGCACACTATATTGTCATTTACGTGCATGAATAAATGCAGACACGAAGTCTGTACATAAAATATCACATGCAAAACTCTCGTTCATTCCGTACAAAGACTTTGTCCCTAAGGAAAAATTAATATTCACAATAAAGTAATGGTATCTGTATTTTGCTGATGAAAACCATAAATTTGCATACTGTCTCTTTGCCTAGATTTAGCTACATCACTGCTTTTTTATCTGGAACTTGTATTTGATACAACTGGATTTTTTTAAGGTTCGGATAATGCAAGGAATGCTGTGGCACCAATGTGATCCAAATTGAACTTTTTCATTAGTTAAAATCACAAATATTTTGTAACTGTTACATTTTAGTTAACATATTGTATGTATATAGGTACCTGTGAGGTTGTCCACAATGTTTTGCTTATTTTAATTTTGGGTTTTTAACAAAATTGCTCTTTTCTTGATGTTTTTCTTCTTTTTTTTTATGAGCTTATAACAAGACTGCTCTTTTCTCCTTTAACCTGTCTGTCTACAGTGATAGTTCAAGGTCATATGGTTACAGTGGGCACCTTGGCTACTAAAAACCATGAATATATAACTGGCCTGAATGTAGAACCATGAAGTCTAAGCAAAGCAAGATGTCCATCTTGCAATAGTGGTGAAACTCAATATGTTTAATCTGTAACCTTAAGCAATAGCAAACCATCAAGTCTTAGCAGCCAAAGCAAGGTGCATAGCTTGCAAGAGCAATAAAATTCAATAAGTCCGGTCCGTTACCTGAATTATTGTCAGGGCCATGAATGACCCAGAGTATGATCATGGAAAATTTACAGAATTTACCATGGAAAAATTAGAGAAGACTTAAAATGTATCTACGACACCGATTTCCCATTACTCCACTGTTTTGTTAGTCTAATTGAATGGACAGACGGACAACATGCCTGTAGGACAGACAAATGCGGGCATAAAAACTCCATTAATATCCGATTGTAGGCAAAATAAGCCAGAAAAACATACATCATTTCAATACATCATCACTCGTTATAAACCTTTGTAGGTAATGTATAAATTATAATTGTCTTACACAGCACTTTGTTTAATTGAATAAATTATTGAAAATTTATGAGTCTAGTGACAAATGTGTTACAAACTGTCATGTTTAACTGATTATTTCGTCTGCTTCAGTCATAACCTGCATATTGAAAAACAATTTACTGCACTTCATACAACTCCAACATTATCATACATCAAAATGTTGTTATTTATGAGAATTATAATTGTTTATTTTTTTTACAATAATGTATGCCTATACTCTTTAAAGGAAGTAGGTCTAAAATCTATTTATAAATTGAAAATATGTACATGTATCTGTCAAAAGCTGAAGAACTTGACATAAAAAGGAAAGGGGAGATTATACTACAGGAAATCAGTTGACTTAGTTTTCATACTAATTTATTTTTGTTCTATCATGTTGTAAGCTAGCTGCTTATTGAAACACTCTCAAATTCGTTCCTGGAACTAACCTGAGTACAAAGTGAGTGTAAAGTTTCTTGCTCATGAAAACAACGGTTTGCCTCTGACTAGTTGAACCCAAGCGGCCAGCAATCCTTAGATTACTAGTTAGACAAGTTAACCACTTGGCCACGCCAATATAACTTGAATGTCACAATCAACTTTTTTTTAACTTTCAGTAAATGACTTAAGCGTTCTCACTAATATAACGGTAATCGGAACATGTGTTACATGTAATATTCATGCATAGCGCCACCTATTATCTTTGCAGATTGACCTGAAAGTTTTTGCCTTCAACTTTGATAGGTATGTGTACTTAAAAGATACAGCAGTGGAATCAATGGTAATATTTAAAGGGAGTCCACTAAGGCTTTTTTTGACATGACGGGACTGAAAATTGTTCTCCTAGATTTATGTACCAATTGATGTAGGTCTAGACCAATTACTTGTGTGCAAATTTAAAGGTCATTCCCTCATCCAGTTTTCCAGAATAATCATTTTAATTGTACAAAAAGACAAGAAAATGAAAAGAGTTGAAACGCTTTTCACTCCGATTGGTGGATAAGAATGGCACAAAAAATCAACATTTAATTAAATTCTGGAATCCTTTGCAGATCTTTCCAATTCAAGTGCTTTGCTTCAATTCATCTTGATAAAAATTTCAAATTTCATGTTTTTAGACTTTTGATCTTAGTGGAGTTCCTTTAATACTGTGATACCCAAAGCCAGGGCACCACACTAAATGTTTATAGAAAAAGGGAGATAAATGACAGAAAAGAAAATGGCTACAAGTTATTTAATTTGCCAAGAACATTGCTTAAAATTATGAAATCCTAACCGAGTAAAAACACTTAAAAGGTACTGAAGATACTGAAGATAGATCAAATAGCTTCGTAGAAAAAGCTCAGACATTTCAAAGAATAACCTTTAATGTCATAGTTATTACAATATTATGATGAAGACAAATTTCTTAGCTCAGACTTGTACCTAATCTTCTTCTACAGTTTTGCTTAAGAGCTAGATTCATTATCTCAGTACATTTGAACTTGTGTACTTTTACAATGACCTTCTATAGCATTTAATTGCTGTATAAAATTAAGATGTCTGGGAAATATAAAGAGAGCCAAATAAAAAATCTATAGTGATTACATTTGAATACTGAATTCAAGTTATGAAAAGATTTTATCCCTTCATTTACTGCAATCTCTTACTTCAGTGTACAAAAAGCCAGATGAGGCCTATATGGGCAGTTAAGTGGTTAAAGTTAACACTGTTGGTTCAAGTACTTCCAGAGACTGGGTTGTTTCATGCACGGAAGTTATCCATTTAGCTTATGGAAGAAGGTCAGTGGTTCTGCTCAGGTTTTGTTTGAGTTCCAAATAATACATCAGTGATTTTTTTCACCTATACTAAGGGGAATGGCAGCAGGGCCATTGACAGGGGAAAATTGCTTCGCAGAGGGAAAACAGAGGAAAGTTTAGAACAGGCCACAATATTTGGGCCTAAAAAATAAATCAGCATGTAGGAGTATCGCCTACTAGTGAAGTTGGACAGTCAATGTCCATTTTACTCCTCAAAGAAAGGAAAAAAAATATGAAAAAACAGTATATTGCGCCCTGTAACATTAAGCTTTTACACCCAATCTAATAATCTTCGTCAATATAACTGATGACTTTCATCACAAAAGTGTAACTATAACAACAAACCTTGCGTGATTGAAGGGGCATTCACCATTTGTTTATAGTAGGAGTAGTAGAGACCTGACTCTGTACGGAATGATATCTCACGTTCCACTTCCTGAAACGAAAAACAAGAGGGAACAAATGTTAAAAATTGTAAAAACAAGGAGCCCTGAGAGCCCTTGATCACTCATCTGAGACATCAGGAATTAAGGCTATAGTTATGCCATTTGTCTTGTATGGCAACCTTATCAACAAATAACATTGTTTGACTGTAACACCAAAAAGGCTCATTCCCATAAAGTTAAGCAATTCAAGGATAGAAGCCATTTTTAACATATCTTTATTTATGCTTTGACCTCCATTTTGTTACATGAAAAAAAATAAATTTAGCTATCTTTATTCAATATGGTAAAAGAAATTCCTGTACCGCTATTGAATTTTACAAATGCTAGCAATGAAAGTCACTGGAAGTGATCATCAGAACAAAGCGCATACCTGTTACCTTAGTGCAGTAATGAGTCAAGTCCTCCTAAATTAAATAGGAGTTAACCAGTTATTGCACTAATAGAACGACAATATGTGAAGTCTGACCAGGATCTATATTAATGGCTCACCTCAAAACTGATAATGGACAGTTCCAAAAATGGAAGCCGGACAAATCCATTTAAAAACAATCAGCAGGATCAGGATTTAATCAATCAGTGAGCTGGGACAAAAATCACCAAGTATCCATTTTATACAGATATTGATTTTGTGCCTACCTTTTATAGACAAAGGGTTACTTGGAAAACAAATGTTGATAGAGCTTAGTATGAACATTATATAATGAATCTTAATATTTTGTTTGAGAATTTTTTTATTGTTTTCTATTTACAGATAGTCATACGGAATTATGCATATCACAGTAACAAACAACATCCATTTATAATTCTTCCACTTATATTTGTTTCACTTGATATTTAATACTGTCAACATAATCATTCATTGCCACAGACCTTCTATCTTAGACCAATTCACTTTAAACTTGTCTAATTTGATTTTTTTTTTTTTTTTTTGGAAGCATTAATTTTGCTGTAATTCAAGAATCAGAGAGAAAATCTGAATCTTATAATTGAAGACCATTACACAATTTTTCAATAACAAAGAGATGGGAGCCCCTTTCACGTGACTCGTATTGATTTTGTTCTCCTCTCGCTAAACAATGACTATTCTCTAATCTTCTTCATGTTTCTGAAGATTCATATCGTTAGAATTTCCCTATAACTTAACTTCTACATCTTCAATGGTATCAAAAAGACACAGTATATAAACAAAATCACTGTACCCTGTCTTGTGAGCCTATGTAATTCAATATGTACCCTGTCTTGCGAGTAAAAGCACAAGTTTCTTTCGATCACTGTTCCTAACTTGGGAGCCTATACATTTTAACTTGTACCTTAATTAAGTAGAGGTCATCAGCAGTAAAGTGTAAATTTTTTTTTTAGCCCTGTAACCTTGAATTGCGCAAAAACTGACTTGCTGTGATATGGATTTGGAACAATGCATTATAATCTGAAGAGACTTTGATTTAATAAAGCAAAGAACATACAAATATTTTTTGTTATTTTTTCAGACAAGATAATGCACACATGGGCCTCTTTTCCTAACATTTTTTCGTTTCTTTGTTTATTACTAAACTTAAATTTGAGTATTTAAAAACACTGAATATTAAATTCACATTCAGTACTTAAATAATTAAACAAGAATGTGACATCAGCTAATACAAGTTGTCAAATATGTCAAATATGAAAGCGACAGTTTTGACATTATTTGCCATCAATATGTATATGGCATTTACCTTTATAAAAGAAAAAAAAAATTATATAATTAAACAAGTCCCTTTTGATAAAGTACAAATAAACAACCATATGAAAACATAAAATCTTTTTGAGTACAAATATTTCATAACAACAAAAACACATCATCAAAATGTTTTGTTTTATACAAAACATTACAACAAAAGATATTTAAATAACATTTCTGAGAAATATACAGACTCGCTTAAGAAACAAAATATCAAATGTTCATTGATTTATATGTTTTAATGAATTTTCTCAATTAAAAGTCAAAATGAATCAAAATTTATATGACAATTTTCACTGAGTATGCAAATATATAAATGTTTAAGATAGAAATCTATCTCTGAGAAATATACAGACTGGCTTAAGAAACAAAATATCAAATGTTCATTGATTTATATGTTTTTATAAATTTTCTCAATTTAAAGTCAAAATGAATCAAAATTTATATAACAATTTTCACTGAGTATGCAAATACAAAATGTATAAGATATCTAATACGGTGTCATATTTTATCCAACATATGTGCTTCTTTAAATTTTCTTCCATATAACTGTGTTAAAAGACCACTTCTGAATAAAGACCATTTTGTAAAAATTAATACAGACCACGCTTTGACAAACCTTCATTGATAAGAAGGATACAACTAAGAATACTCTAATAAAGACCACTTGTCCGTAATGACCATGTACGGGTAATCCTTTGGATGGCCTATATTCACAGGTTTGGCAGTATATTTTTGTATTTTCAATGTACGAAAGAATACAATATGCCTGAAATTATTTGCTGAATAGTCTAACAGCTACCTGACAGCACATACTTCGCAACATTAACAACATTGAATAGGCAAAGGTGACATAAAATTGAAATAGTTGTCAACTGAAAAAGTAAAAAAAAAAAAATTTCTGCAGTTAATTTTCCTCACTGAATACTATTTTTTTCAAAACTTTCTTTCAAATGCAGGTAATTGGGTTACATAACTCCAACACTGGAGAATGAATTACCAAATTACGGGAATTTGTGTAATTTTTTTTCTCGATTTCTCGATTGCGAGACAAGTTCTTGCAATTTATATTAATCACTTTCCAGTCCGCTTCCTGGAACCAATCAGTACTGGTGTCATATAGAGAATCATGGTCCTGACCCGAGCAGGGCTTGAACCCATGATCTCTGGGTTAAGAGGCAGACACCTTAACCAAATAGCCCCACTCCCCTTATAGAATTTATAGAATGCCAAATTACCAAAATTACTGATACATTGTATGTCAGCATTAAAGTTCCATGCTCAAGACTTCTGAATATGTAACTTATTCTTGAATTAATCTTTAACTTTCAATCATTTCATATTAATACTGTCATTGTTGGAACTAATATAAGTATTGTTTTTCACTTTTTTACATCAACTGTTAGAAGGCTCAATTCTTAAATGGACTTTGTTCATTATCAATTTTTGGGATATCTCTCTGGCCATCTAACATTTTAGAGCCGGGTCAGACTGCTAGGGTGTACAGGCTGGCCTAGCTGCATAGTAGCATACTTGTGGCAAAGGCCAAATTCACTTTTGATTCCTGCAAGGCAAGGGCTAAACCACAAATTGTTCATAAATTATTTACTCCTCTGGAAACATCCGACTTGTTCATTTCAATTATAACAAAATATTAATTATTATAACAGACAGTAATACCTATTATTACATTATACCAGGGACTCGTATATGTTCCCGTCTTAAGTAATTAGAAAATATAAAACAAGAATTGAACACAATAATCACATCTTGTCTGTGTCTTTATGAATATCAGATGTCAAGATAGCAGTATTTACTGATTTACTGATCACATATTGCTGGAATATTATATCATATAATAACCATGGCGACATCTTGCCTTGAAATAAATACCGTTATTTTCTTGATACGTAATTCACCATGTGCGACATAAACTTCAGCAATACAGTGGGTGGGAACATTAATTTCAGTGATAAAATGGGTAAGAACCATTTCAGTGTTTATTTAAATTTCATTGTTTATTTAAAAGTGGGTGGGAACCTTTTCAGTGATAATGTTGATGGCAATCATTTCAGTGATAAAGTGGGTGGGAACCTTTTCAGTAATAATGTTGACGGCAATCATTTAAAAGATAATTAAAGTGGGTGGGAACATTTTCAGTAATAATGTTGATGGCAACCATTTAAGTGATAAAGTGGGTGGGAATCTTTTCAGTGATAATGTTGATGGCAACCATTTAGGTGATAAAGTGGGTGGGAATCTTTTCATTGATAATGTTGATTGATGGCAACCATTTAGGTGATAAAGTGGGTGGGAATCTTTTCATTGATAATGTTGATCGATGGCAACCATTTAGGTGATAAAGTGGGATTAAAATTACTGTCTTTTAATCATTGGTTTAAGTCCTATATGGGCTACAACCATTTTTTTAAAATAAACCCAGTACTGTCCAAAAAGTGGCCTTGAAATTCATTACTATAAACTACAAGTACTTATCTCTGACATTCTATCTACAATATATATCTTAAATTAAAATTTCTTGCATCTTGTTCTAGTGGAGATCAAAATTTCCATACATCCGCTCGTAATTAAGAGTAGAATTTAAGAGAATTTGATGCCGGACGAGTGACTCCCAAAATATTTTTTGATGCCTGACTAGCACTCTGTAAGCTAACCTTAAGTATTAGAGCCTCTGCATTCAGTATTAGGAAAGAGCCTCATTAGAGCTCTGACAAACCATGCAAACACCTTTTATGTTAAAATTGAACAACTGCATCTTGAGCCTATCACTCGTAAAGTTCCCCTTATATCAGGGCTCCAATATATCTGTAACAGCTTTCAGGAAGTTAACCACATTATCAGAGTTTGGGAACCATTATGTCACAGCACTCAAGATGTTATCATTATCTGTAACTACACTCCAAAAGTTTAAAAACTCCATAATTATTTGTAACAGCACTTGGGAAGTTAACCTTTTTATCAGAGCTCCATAAATATTTGTAACAACACTCTGGAAGTTAATCTTTTTATCAGAGCAACAGAATTATTTGTTACAACACTGTGGAAGTTAACCTGGTTACCAAGCCCTATAACAATTTTGTAACAGCACTTGGGAAGTTAACCTCTTTATCAGAGCTTCAAAATTATCTGTAACAGCACTCAGGACATTATCAACTGTAACAGCATTGGGAAGTTAAACTCTTTATCACAACTCCGGAATTATTTGTAGCAGCAATCTGGAAGTTAACCTTATCTGGGCTCCTGTAAACAGTACTGCACAAGCACTTTGAAGTTTACCTTTTTATCAGAGCTCCAGAATTTACTAATTTTGTAAAAGCACTCAATAATGTTAACGTCTTTATCAGAACTCCAGAATTACTAATTTTGTAACAGCACTCAAGATTGTTAACCTCTTTAACAGAGCTCCATAATTACTAACTTTGTAACAGCACTCAAGAAAGTTAACCTCTTTATCAGGGCTCCAGAATAACTAATTTTGTAACACCACTCAAGAATGTTAACCTCTTTATCAGAGCTCCAGAACTACTAATTTTGTAACAGCACTCAAGACAGTTAACCTCTTATCAAAACTCCCACATAATGTGCCTGATTTTTGGTTGTTTGGAGATCTGATAAATACACAATGATCGAGAGATACAGCTGACAGTACATCAAAGTTTTATGATGGATGATTTATTTCCCCTTTAAACCTTATCTAAATTTATACCATACATTATTTTAAGGCCATAATTTTATTTCATTTCCTTCAATACTGATTCTAATTAAATCTCAATAGACCATACTGATCTTAACAGTGTAATCCTTAATCAAATATTTTCACTGATTTAAACTAACTCTAAACCAAATTTACACACTGCAGATTATAGTTTTCATATGGTTTGGCAATAATAGCATTAAGAAATAAAATATAATATTTCTATTTTCATTTGTTGTTGTCGTCCCGATCATTAAAAAAAGTCACATTTTTTGATAATATTGACAATCTGTGTGCATATGTCAAGTTAGCATTTAAATATAGCATTATTTGCGATCATAATGCTGATCATTTAAACCCTATTTAAGCTTTAATCCGAATTTTCACATTTAACTAACTTATATTAACTATAAATAACCATGTTTTTAAGCCGAGAAGATAATGTAAATAATCTAACCTTTATATGTGAAAACCACATATTGTTCTCGTGTATCTGCCTCATATAACATGAATGTTTAAATCCAATATATAAGCACAATATAATTCCCGACAAGTTCAACAAAAACTGCTGAATACTCCATCCAAATATAGTAACGCTCTCTTTTTGACCGCTACTCCCTTTAGCGAAACCGTTGCGCTGATGAGGGCTCGATTTATGCCGACCCCCTTTACGTCGTCTTACTTCGGTCATTGTTTTTTTTGTTTTCTGTGATATCTCCTATATAACTACTGTACGAGTGACTGCCTAACACTGCGAGGAATACATTACTGTCCCTGTCACACTGGCGGGGATCAATTCCTTTAATCCAATATCCAATACAGGCATAGACCACTGTAAAACGGTTATTGGTTTAAGACGCAGATCTTAGTAATAAACCACTACTTCAGGCAGCTTTCATAAAATACTGACTTTTAACAAACCTGTAATTTCTAGTTTCAGTCACTCATAAGTCAGGAAAAAAGCACTTTCTGAATAGAAAAAAAAATTTACTTTTCAGCACGGAAGAATAATTATTGGACCAATTGATTTTTGTACATCACTAGTTCTGTACATCATTAATAGCAGGTGACCACTGTCCACAATAAAAATCAATAATGGCTATGATTTCCCCTCAATGGCGGAATCCTATTATCTTTGTTTCCAATACTTGTTTCTGATTTACTAGAATAATTAATGAGGCTTGTTCGTGCAGGAAATCAATGAATACCTAACTCCGGGCAACCTAACTCTGGGGATTACTAACTCCGGGCAATCGTAACTCCATCCAGGGAGATATGTTTTATTAAACTCAGAACAATTTATGTCCCCATAATCACATACATGCATGCAAACTTTCAGAGAGACCATCTCTGAATAAGGGCAAAAATGATAAAACCTGCATTTAGTTTAAACATATTTAATCAAGGTTGATTGCGTAACAAGTTCTTGCAACAATTGATAAAACCTGCATTAGTTTAAACATATTTATTTAAGCTTGATTGCGAAAAAAGTTCTTGCAACTTATATTAACCACTTTGAGTCCCCTTCCTGGAACCAACCGGTACTGGTGTCATATGAAGAAACATGGTCCTGACCTTGAGTAGGGCTCAAACCCATGATCCCTGGGTAGAGAGGCAGACACCTTAAGTTAACCACTAGTTTACCACTCTCCTTGATTAGACACTACTTTTTTTTCTCAAATGACTAACAACACAGTTTCTAAACATTTATTTGTTGTTGTTTGTTTTTTGTTTTTTTTTTAAAGTTACATTGACACTTTTAAGATGATATGGTGACAAAGCTTTTTTGTGAAGGATGACCTTAGGTGCCCCTGCATGCTTTAGCCACAAAAACCCAGCTGAATAGAACCACCAATCTTCTGTTAGCTACCTGGATACATGTATCTTATTCACATGAAAAATCAAAAGTGCCTACCAGGATTAGAAATTATAGCAGTGTGTGGGGCAATTAATTCAACAGCTTAAACAACACAGCAACAGAGGCCCTTACACAAATTTACATTGCCTATATATACTTACAGAACAATGTTTTTGTTTGACAAAAAAAAAATTTATTCTTTTTACAGAAAAAAATACAAAATCATAAAATTTATTTTATATTTATTATGTCATATAAATCAACATAAAAAACTTTGAAACTTTAGACAACATGGAACTTTGAACTAACATCAACTTGAGCTCAAATCAACCTGCCAGCCCTTCACCCACAAAGAATTGCAGGTGGAGGAAATAAGCCTAAGATGTGTGTAAAAGTGAACCTGACAATGTCAACCAGACAAACAAAATAAAACTTATTTTACACTACTGTCAATCATAGTCCAAAAGCTACTTCTTCAAAGTCTAAGAGTAAGAACATAATTATGTTAACAGTTATAAGACAAATAAATAAAATTCATTCAAGAAGTCACCAGAGCAGACAGAATTTAGAATACATGTCAGGCAGATCATGACAGAAGACTGACAGATCATGACAGAAGACAGTCAGATCATGCAGAAGATAGGCAGATCATGACAGAAGACAGGCAGATCATGGCAGAAGACCGGCTGATCATGACAGAAGACAGGCAAATCATGGCAGAAGACAGGCACATCATGACAGAAGACAGGCACATCATGGCAGAAGACAGGCAGATCATGGCAGAAGACAGGCAGATCATGACAGAAGACAGGCAGATCATGACAGAAGACAGGCAGATCATGACAGAAGACAGGCAGATCATGACAGAAGACAGGCAGATCATGACAGCAGACGTACAGGCAGATCATGGCAGAAGACGTACAGGCAGATCATGGCAGAAAACAAGTCATGACAGCAGACAGGCAGATCATGGCAAAAGGCAGATCATGACAGAAGACAGGCAGATCATGGCAGAAGACAGGCAGATCATGGCAGAAGACAGGCAGATCATGACAGCAGATAGGCAGATCATGGCTGAAGGCAGATCATGACAGAAGACAAGTCATGACAGCAGACAGGCAGATCATGGCAGCAGACAAGTCATGACAGCAGATAGGCAGATCATGGCAAAAGGCAGATCATGACAGAAGACAAATCATAGCAGCAGAAAGGCAGATCATCGCAGAAGACGTTCAAGCAGATCATGGCAGAAAACAAGTCATGACAGCAGACATGCAGATCATGGCAAAAAGGCAGATCATTGCAGAAGACAAATCATGACAGCAGAAAGACAGATCATGGCAGGAGACGTTCAAGCAGATCATAGCAGAAAACAAGTCATGACAGCAGATAGGCAGATCATGACAGCAGACAGGCAGATCATTGCAGAAGACAAATCATAACAGCAGACAGGTCGATCATGGCAGAAGACAGGCAGATCATGGCAGAAGACAGGCAGATCATGGCAGAAGACAAGTCATGACAGCAGATAGGCAGATCATGGCTGAAGGCAGATCATGACAGAAGACAAGTCATGACAGCAGACAGGCAGATCATGGCAGCAGACAAGTCATGACAGCAGAAAGGCAGATCATGGCAAAAGGCAGATCATGACAGAAGACAAATCATAGCAGCAGAAAGGCAGATCATCGCAGAAGACGTTCAAGCAGATCATGGCAGAAAACAAGTCATGACAGCAGACATGCAGATCATGGCAAAAAGGCAGATCATTGCAGAAGACAAATCATGACAGCAGAAAGACAGATCATGGCAGGAGACGTTCAAGCAGATCATAGCAGAAAACAAGTCATGACAGCAGATAGGCAGATCATGACAGCAGACAGGCAGATCATTGCAGAAGACAAATCATAACAGCAGACAGGCAGTTCTTGGCAGAAGATGTACAGGCAGATCATGGCAGAAAACAAATCATGACATCAGACAGGCATATCATGGCAGAAGACAGGCAGATAATAGAAGAAAACATTTCAATGCAGCAGACAACCCATGTTCATGCAATATTTCATTATATCATATGACTGCAGCAGATGGCCATATCATGGAATATTTCAATATATCACATGTCATATAGTCTGTTTTAATGTGATATAACCATTATGTATTAAAAAAGAGATCTTTGAGTAGCATCATGTTCCACTTTTGTCAGTGCTGTATAGAATTAAAAGGGGGCATATTATTTTGCATAACTAACTGGTAGAAAAATATCTGTCCTTGGAAGTATTTAAAAAATATGATGTTTTTTCAAGTAAATTACGAAAATATGAGAGTAGTTTTGAAAAATGAGATAATAAGGCAAAAATGACTTTAAAGATTACAGGGTATCTGCTCTGTTGAAATGCATTTCAGTTTTTAAAGCGAACAAGCAAAAAAGTGGATTTTGAGAAATTAACCTGAAAAGAAAAGAATCACCAAGGAAAAAAAATTCTAAAGAAGCTTAAGCAAATAAGGGGCATAATTTTGTAAAATATAATTTCATGATTATCTGCCATTGTCCTGGTTTAGATAATGGACTAGTGTACCAAGTTTGAAGTGAATAGCTTTGATTGTTTCTGAGAAAATTGGCCTTGACCTATTACCTATTAAAGGTTCTAGTGAACTTGACCTTTGACTTTTTGACATGAAATGGGTGTGGCAAGTAGAACTCACCAAGTTGCATTCACATACCAAGTTCCAATATGATAGCATTGTAAGTATTTAATTAAGTTTATAACCATGAACGAAAACTAAATGACCAAAAAGGTTAACAAATGCCACCACTGCCACCGCTGATTGGGTCACGAAAAGTATCTTAACTTTCATTAAAATGCTTTTATTTATGTTTTCTGGCTTTTACTTATCATGTAATAAGTAAAACTCTTATATTTATTGTTACTTCATTTAAAATAACATTGACATTAACTTTGACAGGAAAATTTTATTCATGTAATACAAAAGTGAGTAATATCAAATAATATCAAATTTGGATCCTTTATACAGGTATATCAAGTGTCTGAAATAAATCTTCCTCACTTTTTAAATACCAGAAAATAATCTGTTACCTGATAAAGAATAATATGATGCTAAGCTCCATTAAGTTCTATAGATTTCCTGCCATTAAAAATATCATAAACAATCAGCCATGTCTACAAATCATGTTTAAAAATGCCATCTTGCTTTGTTTAAAATATCCTTTAATGATTTACTGACATATTTTTCAGATTTTTTTTCAGACTTCAATCAGATCAAATTTCAAGACTGAACTTTAGTACGATGATAAACTGAATTCTCATGAGAAATTTTCCTTTCATTGTTGAAGAGTTTCCATCAAATTAATGATGATACTAGAATCAAAATAAACATATTATCATATTTATCTTCACATGCCATAAATGCTTTGATTTAAATCAATGACAATAACATTTATGCAAAATGTTCTCATCTGCACTTTAATGCAAGGGCAAAGTATTTCAAACATTAGTCTACAATTAACTTTCTTTACAAAAAAAGTATTGTCTTGACCTTGACATTCACTATCAGCTGTGATCTTGACATTCATTACAATTGTGACCTTGATATTTAGTCAGATTGTGACCTTGACATTCACTTTCAGCTGTGACCTTGACCTTTAGTATCAAAATCAATGGCAGATTGTGACCTTGACATTCACTAACAGCAGTGAATAATTACCTTGGCTGTAGTTATAATAGGCTGTTGACTTGCTGCTTTGGGCTCAAAACCCACAAAAGGCTTAGCTTGTTTCTTTCAAATGAAAAGGTTAGTGGTTCAATTCCGGTGCATATTTGCGATTTGTTTATGAAGCTTTTCCTTTTAAAATCCATGATAAAAATCTTGTTTCTTTTTTCTTTTCACATTACCATGGTAACCACAGTTATATATGGAATCAAATTATCAAACTCAACTATGGCTTCAAGCAACCAACACTTCACTGACTACCAGTAATCAAACAATTAAAATTGATCAAAGAAAGAAGATACAATGTTTACATATTTAGTAATCTTATCCCTTTTTAATTCATCTAAAAGCATTTCAAATGTATGATCATTTTTCA